CCCGCTGCGGCCACTGCTGCTGTCCCTGGCTCGTGCAGGGCAAGGAGCCCACAGGCCGGTCCCTCTGGCTGCTCGGACCCTCCCTGGCCGCACACGGTGAGTGAGCCGGCTCCTAGGAGGGCGAGGAAGCCCCTGGAGTCCGAGGGGACTCCAACCTCCATGCCTTCGAGGTCTCACGGTGAAAGATACCTCACCCGCCAGCCTTCCTGGCACCTGGCAGGATTGTGTTTGAACCTTCTCGACTCACTAGGCAGCTAGCGTGGGAACAACATGTAGGGGAGATGGACTCTAACCGCTGTGGGTCTTTTGATGGGCAGTGGGTGAGGGGCCGGAGTGCCCATGGGCCGGGCTACCGGGGCCAACAATACCCTGGATGCATTGCTGGAGGCAGTGGGTGCAGGAGGAAAGGGAGAAGAGGAACGCAGGGGGATAAACGGGTAGCCTCTGTGGGTGGTAGTCGGATGAGCTCGTTTGGCTGAAATACAGCCCCCATCTAGGCACCTGTGCGTGTGGGCATGTGTTTGGGTGCTGGTCCGCTCAGGTGGGTGCCTGAAGAAACCACGCACAGAGCCAGGGCCCAGCATGGTGTCTGCCTCCTCAGTGTGCTCATGTAGCAAGTGGGGACCTGAGGCTGGGAGAGGAGCAGGAGGCATAATGGTGACTCCCCGCCCAGTGCTCTATCCAAGATCACAGGGCAGCCAGCCTCTCGGAGAACAAACACGTGTGGCCAGAACAGCCGGCCCGGACCCACCCTGCAGACCCCTTCCTGTCGTGCTGCTGACTCTGAGTCTAACCCAATGCTGCTCAACCTTGTGTGTGGGGTGGGGGGTTTCTGTTATTGCCCCCACAAAGGAGCTTTTTGAGATAATTTTTCTTAATTGTCTCCCCCTCCATGAAATGTTGATACCATAGAAATGCTGTAAGTCCTTAGTGTGCCGTGGCCTTTGGAGGCTCATGAAAAATGATAACATCTAAGATTTTTTGATACCTTCCCCCACGGACCAAATATTTCCCTCTGAGGTCAACGTCAGCCCCTGTTGGGGATGTATGGGCTACATTCAAGCCGGGGCCTCCCTGTCGCTGAGCCTCAGTGTCCTCGCTGAGAAATGGGGCTCCAAAATGTGGGTTCGATTCCCCATCAGAGTACATGCCTAGGTTGTGGGTTCTATCCCTAGTCAGGTGTACATAGGAGGCAACTGATCAATGTTTCTCTCTCTCATTGATGTTTCTCTCTCTCTCTCTCTCTCTCTCTCTCTCTCTCTCTCTCTCTCTCTCTCAGTAAAATCAATAAACATATACTAAAGTGAGGATTTTAAAAATTCTTAAAAACAAACAAACAAACAATCTTAAGAGCTAAATGCTCAATTACTGCAAGGACCCCAGAGGCCCAAGAGCTGAGCAACTGGGTACAAAGCAGCCATTATTCCTCAACTCACACCTGGGGCACGCGGGCTAAGGGGCCAAGGCCTTAGTGGGGAGCCCAGAGTGAATGAAACCCTCTCCTAAAGCAAACAGCGTCTGCTTTATAAAGGTGCTTTCCCCAAAAAGAAGCAATGGTTCCAGAAGAAAAGCAGCACCGTGTTCACGTGAGGGAGCCCTTTATGGGAACTTAAAGGATGTCATTGGCCACAGAAGGGATTACCAAAGGGAACCAGCCCTGTGTCCAAAACTAGGGAAGCCGAAACTGGTTTGGCTCAGTGGCTAGACCGTCGGCCTGCGGACTGAGGGGTCCCAGGTTCGATTCCGGTCAGGGCATGTACCTTGGTTGCAGGCATAGCCCCGTTGGGGGGAGGGGGCGGCGTGTGCAGGAGGCAGCTGATCGATATTTCTCTCTCATTGATGTTTCTAACTCTCTATTCCTCTCTCTTCTTCTCTGTAAAAAAAACAATAAAATAAAAAAAATAAAAAATAAAAAGCTAGGGAAATTACAGGCAAGTGAGTGGACTAGTATAAGGCAGGGGGAGGGCAGGGAAGAGATCCTTAAAGAAGGTAAATATCCTGTTGATCAAACACATTCCCAATTTTTATATGACTCAACTGATTTAACAATCAACTTTTGAGAGCTGTTTAGCAGGTGCAGATGGAGCACTCACTCCTACTGTCCTGTCTTGTAGCAAGAGGGTTTCTAACTGACTTTGCAGACCTGGGGATGGTTTTCTATGTTCTTCTACATGGAGGGCACTCATCCCTTCTCCGAGCCCACCCGTCCCTTCTCTGAGCCCACCTGTCTCTTCTCTGAGCCCACCCGTCCCTTCTCCAAGCCCACCCGTCTCTTCTCCGAGCCCACTCATCCCTTCTCCAAGCCCACCCATCCCTTTTCCGAGCCCATCCATCCCTTCTCCGAGCCCACCCATTTCTTCTCCAAGCCTACCCATCCTTTCTCCGAGCCCACCAGCCTTTCTCCGAGCCCATCCATCCTTTCTCCCAGCCCACCCGGCCTTTCTCCACGCCCACCATGAAGTCAGGTCAGAGGTGTGCCATCCTCTTCCTCGGTGTTCTGAGCCTCTGGCCCAGAAAGGCAGGGGGCCTTTTTCCCTTGAGCCCTCACTTAGGGGAATTTCCGATATGAGTTCCAGGAAATGGAAGGGGTTTCGGGGTCCAGGGGCTCTTTCCTCTCTCATAACCTCCTACCCCTATCCCTTCTCAGCCTGCCTCCCGTTCAGGGCATAAAACCAGCCAGTCCGTGGGAAAATCAGGTCCAAACGCAAGCAGCCTTGACCTCTGTTTGATACGGCTCCCCGGGGGAGATCCATGAACACGATAATCCGCCTGCAGCGTTAACCCTCTGTGGGCCTCGGGAAGGAGATTCCCCGTGGGGCCTGGTGACTCTTTGTGGATGGCTCTGAAAGGGATCTGCATGTGAGACTTTGACCTTGGTTGCTTATCTATGTCAGGAGCATGGTTCTCCTGAACATTTGATGATGGGAATGAGGATAAGGATGATGATCAGAGATTTGCCAATGCCCCCAAAGAACTGGTCTTTGGTTCTGAAGTCACACAACCCCTGCCCCTCTAGTCGGGAGGTCCTATACATAAGAATGTACCTGAAGTCAACGTGACTGTTTTCAGAAAGGGAAGCTGATGGGTCGAGAGCCGAGAATCGGAAAACTTAAGAACTCTCTACATGCAATGTCACATTGCCACCATCTGGCTCTGTGGCCTGAAGCAAGGGCCACAAGCTCCCCGAGCCTTAGCTTTCTCAGATCTGGATGACAGAGCGAGGGGAGCGAGGCTCTGACTCAGCACTTTCCAGCACTCAGGGTTCCTACAATCTGGTCCAAGGCTCTCACGTAAAGAGGCAGAGAGTACCTCTGGCAGGATCGGTGGGCCAACAGGCAAAATCCAGGCTATTGTGTAAGTTCCTACACGGCCCTTTAATATGTAACCATTTAAAAATGTCAAATCATTTTTAGTGCAGGCCGTTCAAAAGCAGGAGGGGAGCTGGATTGAGCCTGCCAGTTGCACTTTCTAACCTCTGACTCAGTGGTGCATGGATGGACAGTTTTTATTTGAGTGCTCATGTCTTCATTTTTACGTATATGTTCGGAAATACTGACTTTTTGTGGATAATGGTGATGTCAAGTTTTCCTTTGAAATAAACGTGTTTATGTTCAAACAAAAAAGGGTTTTTGTTGAATGGGTTAAGTAAATTATGGTGATGGGAGGCACGTGACTAGCGTCAGGAAACAGGGACTAGATGACTGACAAGCTCCTGCCCACCTTAAAATTCCCTGAGACCAGAGCTCAGTGTCTGCTCTGACACTTACCAGCCATGTGGTCCTGAGCTGCAGGGTCCCCTTTGCCAAATGGGGGTGGGACCCCCATATCTCATCAACATTACTTCCATAGAAGAAAAGAGAAGTGGGGCCAGCATATATTTTTAACCCACCAAGTATGAATCCTTTTTTGTCTGAATTGTGGGGACACGGGAAGCAGCAAAGAGAAACTCGAAAGATGAGACTGATGGGCAAGAGTGCATGAAAGTGGGGAGCCCCAGGCCCTCGACCAGACCCCTCTCCCCAGAGCCTCTCTGCCAGTGTGAGCAGGGACGTGAACATAGCTGTCATGTCTTCACATCACATACACAAACCCGAGTTGTCGCTTAGACTCCACCCCCTGCCAGCTGGATGGTGTGGGCACGTTAGCTGGAATGTCAGAGAGTCCCCTCTTCATCTGTGACACAGACTCCATGCATATATATATATATATATATATATATATATATATGCACACACACATTGAGTGGCCAGATTATTATGCATTCAGAGATCATAATAATTTGGCCACTCAGTGTATAGCATATATATCATTTATATATATCTATAACATATAATTTTTATACATAGTCTGTATATGCATAGTGTATAGTTTATATTCATATAGGTGTAACATTTATGTAACAGTATATAAAACTACATAAAATCAATTCAGAACTGGTTTTTTTGTTTGTTTGTTTGATTGATTGATTGATTTTTTGCTCAGAAATGTTTGTACCAAAGATACACACACACACACACACACACACACACACACACACACTTTTGGTCAGAGGTCTGGGATTTCAGAATTGTAGATAAGGGTGTGTGGGTATGCTCATTGATAGCAACTCTGGCCCTGTTTTCAGAAACACATTGTTAGACATTCTAAGCCAGAGCTCAGAGGTCAGATGTGAGTGAATAGGAAAAGTATCGAAAGAGGCAGTATTGGCTAATAAGAGTTCCCATCCTCAAATCCCAGTTTTACCACTTCTGGGCCAAGATCTATGTGCAATTATCTCCATCCTTCTGCCTCAATTTCCTCATCTAGAAACGAGGATAGATGTCCAAACCTCCTGGGATGTAGCAAAGATCAGTCGTGGAAAGCACGTGGAGGAGGCCCTGGCTCCCAGGAAACCCCTGGATGTGAGGCTTTGCTGTTATTGTTAAGCCACCGGGGCCCGCTGGGGTCCTGCTGTGGCTTCCAGCCGTCACGCCTCCTCACAGCCTCTCCCACCGTTGCAGGGTGATGTTGGACTCAGTGACACACAGCACCTTCCTGCCCAACGCGTCCTTCTGCGACCCCCTGATGTCCTGGACTGACCTGTTCAGCAATGAGGAGTACTATCCTGCCTTCGAGCACCAGACAGGTAGGCACACCTGGGGAGGTCCATCTGAATTGGGATGGGCTGGGGGGGCAGGAGGTGGTGCTGGCTTGGGCTGGTGACAAGACTATGCGAGGGGCCTGGAAATGCCCCCTCTCACCAGTGTCCATGGCAGGGGGCCAGGAGAGGCCTGAGTGGAAGGAAGGAAAGCCTTGGAACCTCCACCCCGACCTGCCCACTTCACCTCTTGGAGCCTCATTTTGCTATCAAGTAAAATGCGGGTGATAATACTGGGCCAGGCGCCAGGGCTGCACAGACAGCCTGGAGGCACTTACCTACCTAAGTCAGCCCTGCACCCACTCCCAACCCCCGCCCCAGGCACACAAGCTCACCCAAGACATCTTGCACCCTCGCCTGCAGGGTCCAGGTAATTGCCTTTGAACCTGATTCATTCAAATACATATCACAATTCTCCTTTGGGCCTAAGAGGCACCTGGTTTCCCAGAGAGACGCTGAGCAATGTGTTGGATTTTCTCCCCTCGATACTTGGTGAAGAGGCTACATCTGAAGGAGGACAATGAAGGCTTCCAGGGTGCTATCCTCTTCCCACACGTGGCATGGTTGCAGGCCATGTCCTGTCCTTGTCTCATCCACGCGTATCGCTGACCTGTCCTCCTGGAGGTCCCTCTTCCTGCCTGTTCTGCAATCACCAATGTCTCAGCAGCTGCTTCTGTAGGTGTCAGAGCCAGGCACCACCTTTGCCTCTCAAGCCTCAGTTTTCTCATCTGTAAAATGGAGTTGTAAGGATGCCTCGCTCACAGAGAGGGATGTGTATGGGACATGGTCGGGCACATGATAAGCACACGTGGTTGTTTAAAAATGAAGGGTTCGATTCAGTTAGGGAGGATGAAAAGGTTCTAGAGATGGAGAGTGGTGATGTATTTAATGCCATTAAGCTGTTCACTCAAAAAAACGGTAGATTTTTACCTGATGAATATTTTACTGCAATTAAAAAAAAAGAGTTAGCCTAAGTGATCACCAATAGGATTGCCAGTGCTGCTAAAACCCAGCAGTTTTAGATATTGCCTCAGCTCTCTCCTGTCTGAGGTTTCTTCAGAACAATTGTCTCCATGTCTTCATTCCCATCATGCAATGAAGCATTGGACCGGGTCATTTCTAAGATCCCTTCCAGAAGCTTCTCTGATTCCCGCATCAGGCAGGACCGCAGATGCAGCCTTCATCCTCTGTCACCCGTTGAGAGAACAGAAAGGAAGCCGCCGAGGTTGGGGGCCAGTGGAAATGAAACAGCCCCCAGCAGCCACCCAACTTCCTGATGTTCCCTGAGGGAGCAGCCGGCTGGCTGCGGTCTCGGTGGGATGGCTCTGACCTCCCACAGGCCGAGGCTGGGGATCCCCATGAGCGCCTGGCACTCGGTGGGTCCCCTCTGTGGGAGGAGGGCCCGGGGTTGCTTCCATCGTGTTCTCACCCAGAGAGATGCCACATGGGTGTGAGTGTCTGCACAAGCCCCCCCGCCCCCCGAGCAAGAGGCTCCACCTCTGGACACGGCTCTGCAGACTTTTCATGCCCAGAGTCATCTCCTGCTCACGGGAAGTTCATCTTGAATTTAGAATTGTCCCGGGGGCAGCTTTCTGTTAGATTCTGCCACTGGACAGCCCGTGGCCTCGGGCAGGTTTTCTCTAACATCGTACTCCAGCTGGAACAGCACCTGCCTCCTAGAGCTGGGAGGATAGGGACAGCAGATCCCACCCAGCAAGTGGGTAGCACAGCCTTTGGCACTGGGTAGGCGCTCACTGCAGCCAAACCAGCCGACGGCGGCTCCCGGCTCAGGGGAGCACAGCGTTCTCTCTCCTCGCTTCATTTTTCATGTTGAACAAAAGCAACCCCAGTTTCCACCTCTCCAATGTGGAATCTCCGACAGCCTAGACGCGATGAGGCCGAAGGGAGAGAGAAATGGAGTGCCCAGCAGACCGATGGCGTCCACGAGAGGGCAGGGAGAGACGTTCAACCCAGCCGGGAAGCCAGCTGCTCTCCCAGCGTCCTCGCATGATAACCCCAAAGGTGACCTGCTCTTTGAAGAAGGACTTCTGGCGTCACCGCACTGCATGCTGGGACGGGACAGTCCGATTGCAAAATACTTAGAAATTCATGAACTCACCCTGGCCCTCCCTTCAGCGCTTAGAAGAAAAGAATTACAGATACTGGAAAATGTTATCAAAGGATGCTGCAAATATTTTCCAAGCAGATGGTATGCTCAAAAGGTCATGCCTCCAATCAAGTTCCAGTGGCCAAGCATCTAAGGCGTCATGAAGTCTCCTGGTCTCACCCCTACAGGCTGGAGCTCCATCCTCAACCTACACACACACACATACACACATGCACACATGCACAAGTGTGCACACATGCACATGCACTCTCTCTCCCCTGATTGCCAAGGTGGCCACACCCACATGCGTTGCGCCCTTTGCTTTGGAATCTGGACTGCACTCTGCAGCAGAGGTTTCTGGGTTGGGCAGCTCTGGGGGTTCCTGGGAGGCCCCTTGGCAACCTGAGGTGACAGCTAAGAAGACTAGCCTCCAGCTCCTTCCTCTCCATCCCCACCCTCCAGCAAGGCTGCCATGCTTTCATTCCGAAGACAGTATGGTGCAGTGGTTATCAGGGCATGGCTGCAGGAGTGGTAAGAGACCTCTATGACCTTAGTTAGCTCTGCCTCTGACTCCTGTGTGACCTGGAGAAAGGACCTCACCCTTCCGTGCCTTATTTTCCTCATTTGCTTTGTAAAAGGGTGGTGTGATCTAGGGCAGTGGTCAGCAAACTCATTCGTCAACAGAGCCAGATATCAACAGTAAAATGATTGAAATTTCTTTTGAGAGCCACATTTTTTACACTTAAACTTCTTCTAACGCCACGTCTTCAACATAGACTCGCCCAGGCCGTGGTATTTTGTGGAGGAGCTACACTCAAGAGGCCAAAGACCCGCATGTGGCTCGCAAGTCAGCAGCTTGCTGACCGCGGATCTAGGACCTCGCAGCCCTGTGCTGAGGACAGCGTGAGAAAACTCAGAGTGTAGCAGTAATTGGCACACGAAGTGCTCCACAAACGTGTTAGCTACGGTTCCCCAATGGGTTTATCTGAAGAAAGAACTGCGAAGAGAGTGCAAAACCCACGGATCTGTGCTATCGGCATCCAGGTGACCAGGGAGGGAGGCATTTGGGTTCCACGTGGGCTTTTTTAAGCAAGATCCATGTGCTGGGTATAGAAGTCTGAGAGCGCCTGGGAAAGAAAGAGCAATGGTTTCTAAATCAAAAGCAGATAAATAAATACAAAATGACAGGACACCCCCAGAAGGAGGCCTCACATTTGCCACTGCTCCTCTATCCTACACAAGTCTGAGCCTTCTGGGAAGCCTTGGGCCCAGGACCACCCAGGGCTTGGCGTTCCCCGTCCCCTCCTAATTCCATACATACCTCCGACCACAGCCCTTTGCTGATACCCAGCCATGCCTTCTCCTCTCTTCTCCATCCGGTTCCTTACACTGCCCAGGTGTGAGTTTTTTTTTTGTTTTTGTTTTTTTCATCTCCTCTGGCTCAGAAGCAGAGCCAAGAAGGGCTATTGGATGCGGCTAGACCCGCTCTGCGAGGAAACCTGGAAGCAATTTGTCATTTCAGGTTTCGCCTCAGAAAGTCCTTCCTCTCCACGACAAAGCTGCAATTGATGGTGCCCAAGCTGCCCAGTTCACTCAACGGCTGCCCTGGGCAAGGAACTTCCCCAGCTCCCTGCGCTCATTAATCATGCTAATTGTGGTCCAGCTGGCTACCTCCCTCGGCCTCCTCTGACCCTGACTGGCTGGCTGGCTCCCCCTTGCCGGTCCCTGGGCTCTCTTTGTTCTGTTGTCCCTCAGTTAGATGGAGGCCCTGTAGGGAAGGTCTCCTTTCCCTGGGAACAAATGTCCCAAAATAAGAATGAATCACAGGCAACATAGCAAAAGCTTCCTATTGTCCAGAGGAACACAGCCAAGTTCTTGATATTCCTCGTGTCTTTTCCTTTTCCCAGCAAACTCCCTAAGAGGTGGGCGCTATTGTTATTCTTCTTTACAGCTGAAGGAAGCTGGGTCCAGAGAGGTTAGGAAATTTTGTTGGGATTGCACAGCTGATAAGTTGAAGAGCCAGGAATGCACATCAGGAAGGGCCTTCTCCACAGCCCAGGCTGGGTGACTCCACGCCTGCATCCCACACCTTCCAATGGTCCCCCTTTCTCTCCAGGTCAGTTGGCAGAAGCCTAGAGTGGACGGTGGGAACCAGAGTCCACAGGTTCATGTAGCTTCAAAAACTTTCCTGCCCATGCTCCCCCATCAGCAGAGGAGAAAGGACAAGTTCTCTGGCAGAGGATAGCTCCATATCTCTAAGCTCACACTACTTTGCAATACACAGATTTGGCATTCTGAGGCATATCTATTTTGTTGTAATTTTTAAAAAAGAGTCAAAATCGCCCCCCAAATTTTTGTTTCAAGTGAGGCTCCAAGAAAATTGGCTCCAAAATGTCCATGTAGGAAGGGCACAGGGCAGCATTCCCAGTGGAGGAGCAGGCCCATCTTCATGGCAAGTCTCAGCATCCCCACTTGGGGCCTCCTCAGGCATGAGTGTGCCCGTCTGGCTGGGAAAGCTTGAGTCCTCCTTCTAAATGCATGTGCATGCCAGGCTACCACATCCCTGCTCTGAATTCCTCCAGGATTGTCCCTTTTACATCCCGAGCTCTTCTTCCTGGCCGCCTCTGACTTCAAAGGAGCCGGCCAGCCTGCCGCTAAGTGGCTCAGCAGTGGCCTCGGACGTTTGGATAAAGTCTACCGGGCAATGGATGCCATTTGTCTTCAACCAGTGGCTGTACACAAAGGGCCTCAGACCTCAGCTTCTCTAAAGAGTGTAGACTATATTTACGAATGGCAGAAACATGAAGGAAAACACTTTATATTTTCAAACGATACAACTTACTAAAGATAGCTTGTCCTGTGAGTCCTGTGAGTGTATTACCTTTATTTATTTATTTATTTATTTATTTATTTATTTATTTATTTATTTTTGGCCCTGAGTTTATCTCTTCCAAGTAACCAAAGGGCAAAGCATCTGCTTCAAGTCTTTCTCTGGGGTTGCAAATAGTATCATCACCAGTCTCTCCGCCCCTTTTCTGATTTTTCAAACCTATATTATATATGTAATTCCTGCCGTCATCCAAATCCTTTTTAGTTAGACTTCAAGATGTGTATGCAATTTGGTCCTCCTCAGCCAGAGTGACAGGATGCAGAATTCCCACATCCCAGGAGAGGAGAGTTAGCTGGGGCCTAACGCCCGTCCTGACCAGCTGTGCGGCTTTGTTCAAGCCATCCAACCTCCCGGAACCTCAGTGTCCTCACCAGGGAGTGGAGGCAATAATCACCGGTCCTTCGGCCCATCAGGTACCCTCCCTGAGCGCCCACGGTAGGCGAGGCCGGGGCCCTCACACTTCAGACGCTGGGTGAGCCAAGCAGAGGGGGCCCCGCTTCCTGGGGCTCCCAATGGTCTGAAGAGAGAGCGAGGGGGCTGTTATCCGAATGAGAAGGGCACCTGAGGGGCTGAGAGGGAGGGAAGCCTGGCTGAGAGGGGGCAGGGGACGTGTGCTGTGGTCCTGAGGAGGAGCAGGGAGTAGAAGAAGGCACACGGGGACCTCGTCCTGAGCAGGGGAGGTGCGTGTGGAAGATGCTGAGCAGGAGGCAACCTAGGAGCAACAGGGCCTCCTCACCCCTGCCAGCCTCACCACTGCGGCCTTGGCATTGCTAAGACAGGACCGCGAGGCATCCCGTGGCCCAGAAGCGCCCCATGTCCTGAGAAGAGGCCTTTTCCTTGACGCTCTGGGCTGTGCCTGTCCTGGCTGCCCTCCAGGCCCAGCAGCACACAAAGCCCGCTCTGTGGCGGGGTGCCGGGGCGAGCTGGGGAGGGAGCCCTGCCAGCAACACCTCCCAGTGTCAGTGCCCACCCACCCACCCAGGCATTTCTCCGAACCCTCTCGCTTGGCTTCCAGAAAAAACATGGCCCTCTCCGAGCGCCAAAGAAAATAGTGAGGGGGCGGAGGCAAGGAGGGGAGCAGGGGGAGGTTCAGAGAACCCTTTCCACGAAAGGCAGCAGCAAGCTGTGCCCTCCACCTGCAGCCCCGCCACCCCTCTGTCCTCTCTCGGCTCCGGACCAGGGCACCGCCAGTCACCTCTGTCCGCTCTCAGCGGGACCAGGGCTAGGAGAGTGTCAGGCTCAGAAAGCTCTCTCGTCAGAACACCAGGGAAGCAAAGGGCCCGTCTTAGGTTTGCTCAAGTCAGAAATCAGCAGGCAGAAAGCACACAGAGAGTGGCCACACCATTGTCCCGGGAGGCCCTGCTGGCCACCAGGCGCCCCCCCACTGGCCAGGGGGCCAGAGCGGCGGTGCCACCAGGCCCCTCGCTCTCCCCACTGCAGCAAGCAGCAGTGACATCGGCCTCAGCCACTTGGCAGGGTATGGAGCCTTTGAGCCACGTGCACACCAAGTTCAGATGAAAAATGATAAATAAATTTATTAAGTTTGACTGCCACTCCATCCACTCTAGGGGAGGAAAGTCCATTTCTGGAAGGACTCGGAGCTTTAAGAGGAGCTTCCATTTCCGTCTTCTGAAGTGCCCAATCCTACTTATTTGGGCAGATCTGAGGAACTTGAGAAGCTGGCATAGAGTGTCGGGGAGCGGTACACCTCACCGGGCAGAGAACCCATCCTCTGCCTCAGGTTCGAGGCTCCAGGGCTCCCCTGGGGACAGTGGCAGCCAACGCAGCACTTAAAGGGGGGATCAGCCAGCCTCCTGCCATTAGCTCTGCAGACTAACTCGTGAGCGACCCTTTCTGTCGTCCCCACGCCCTGGGCCATCAGCAGTGCTGTCCTCTCTCCCCTCCTCTCTCCTTGGGCCTTCTTATTCTCTCTGGCCCTCTGACTGCCTCCTCCCTTTCTCCCTGCTTCATCTCTTCTCTGCGCGGAGTCTCTGAGGACCAGGGTGATGGGATGAGAAGAGGAATGGCTTTCAAGTTCAGACCGGAGTTCACACCCCAGCTCCGCCACACACTGGCTGTGGGGTCTCAGGAAAATCCTCAGCTTCCTCATCAGTGACCTCCCAGGGGACAGGGACCAAATCTTCTTTACCGTGACCACTTCCCCCGCAAGGTCTTGCTTTGCTACAGCAGGTGTTCAAGAGTCACCTTACTAGAGGCATGAAAACCTCCCAGGTCTCTTCTGTAGATTCACTCATCTAAGCCACAGAACAGCCTAGGGTGCAGGCGCTGCCATTGTCCCCATTTTGCCAGTGAGGAAGCCCAGGCAGGTTTATGGAATGAAGGACGCATGGATGAGTACTGTGGCGATTGCGAGCATTGCTTATGTCCAAGAGCCTGGCCTGGTACCTGCTACCTCACCCCTTCCGTATCCTGTGTCCGCCACCCTTTCTGCTTCTCCTGGCATTGCACCTAGGCCAGGCACAGCCGCTTCCCGCCTCCCAGTCTGCCTGGCTGTGTACAGGGATCCTCTGAAGGAGGGAAGGGGCACTGGTTTGGGGATAGGATTTCTTTAAAATACCCCCAAGCCACAAACACAACACTGCAACCAATTCCCTCCCTCCCCCACCCCCACCCTTACTCCTTTACCTCCAGAGAAGTCTGTTATGGAGACCCACAGTCTGTGGGTCTCTGGGCAACGGCTCACCGGCCCTGGGCCCCTACCTCCAAGTGGCCAGAGGCAGAGCACAAACCAGGCGGGAGTGCTGGCAACCGCCCAGAAGGGCAGAGAGAAACCAATCACCTCAAGGGGTGCCCGGCATGCAGAGGCATTTAGTGACTGTTGAACAGATGGATCGGTTTCTATGTGCCACACAGCCTGTACACGTTACCCCACTGCGAACAGCCCTGTGTGCTGAGCCCATATCCTCACCTCACAGATGTGGACACAAGGCTTATGTGTCTATGGGCCTGGTCCCAGTGGAAAGCAACAGAACTAGGATTTGAACCGGGCCTGTCAAGCTCCAAAGCCCGTGATCTTGACACCATGTCGTCTGACACGGAATCACGGCAGGGCCTCGTTCTCCCCTACTTTCTAGGCACCAAACTAGGCCTGGACACTCCCAGGTCACCATGCTACCATCACTCCCTCTTCTGCCCTAATGTCCCCCCATAGGGTCCAGTCCCCTCTGGTTTTTACTGCAGAATAGGAGCTGGCCAGGGCCCCAGCAGACACCTCCCTTCCCCCATGGCTGGAGTCCCTTTCAACTCGTGGGCAAGGGATGAGGATGCTAAGGTAACCAGGGCCGCCTTCAGGGGCCTTCCCAAGATCTCCCCCGGGTACCGTCCCTCACTTCTCTCTCTCCCCCGGTGCAGCCTGCGACGCCTACTGGACGTCCGTCCACCCCGAGTACTGGACAAAGCGCCACGTCTGGGATTGGATCCAGTTCTGCTGCGACCAGTACAAGTTGGACATCAACTGCATCTCCTTCTGCCACTTCAACGTGAGCGGCCTGCAGCTGTGCAGCATGACCCAGGAGGAGTTCGTGGAGGCGGGGGGCGTCTGCGGCGAGTACCTGTACTTCATCCTCCAGAACATCCGCTCCCAAGGTCGGTGTCTGGGGGGCGGGGCCGCGGAAGGGGCCGAGGCTGGGACCACAGGACCCGCCCGGGTCCCTCCCTGCCCTGGGACTCCCACCGCAAAGCTTCCCTCCCTGGCACTTCCATTCCACCAAATCCTGTCAAACAAAGCCTCTCAGAAACTGGGAGCTCTGGAATGCCAGGATCGGAGGTTGTAGGTAAAAGGGAGGAGGATGCAGGCAAGCAAGTTTGGTACATTTTTTAAAAGAAAAAAAAAATGAAAATAGCATTCAGGGACTACCCGGGCTACACAAGATAACGTATTTTGTTCATAAAGATTGGCAGCTATAGCCTGGCGGATGTGGCTCAACCTATGAATGGTGACCTATGAGCCAGGAGGTCATGGTTCCCGTCACAGGTCACATGCCCAGGTTTCGGGCTTGATCGCCAGTAGGGGGCGTGCAGGAGGCAGCCAGACAATGATTCTCTCTCGTCATTGATGTTTCTATTGCCTTCCCTCTCCCTTCCTTTCTGAAACCAATAAAAATATATTTATATTTAAAAAAAAAAAAAAAAAAAGATTGGCAGCTAGAAAAGGTGAACACAGCGAGGTTTCTGCTGGACCTTTCATGACACAGAAAGAGAAGAAAACTAACTAGACCCTTCTCCTTCCATTTCCGGAGGAGCCGGACGGTTGTTTTATTTGAACCCGTTCCTTACGGTCCAGGACCAAACAGCCCACAGGTGGCTCCCGGCACATGATTCACCGCCCCAACCTGCTCCACAGGCGGACGGGTGTTGGGGGAACATGTAACTCCATGTCCCCGGGTCGCAGATAAAGGAGCAGAGGTCCTGTGCAGTGATGCTGCTCCTCTGAGGTCACCCAGCAAAAGGGACTGATTACTGGAAAGTCAGCACAAAGCCAGGGCTTTGTGATCAGAAGGTCTCAATCCTGATCTCACCACAGTTCCACCCCCGTGAGCCGTCGGACTCTCTGGATGTCCTCGGCCTCATCCGTATGATGGTGGTGCACCCCTCCTTCAATGCTCCTCAAACAGGAGAGTTACTGTGTGTTGAAATATATGATGCACTCTAACTGGTGTGGCTCAGTGGATAGAGCATCGGCCTGCGGACTAAGGGGTCCCAGGTTCAATTCCGATTAAGGGCATGTACTTTGGTTGTGGGCACATCCCCAGTAGGGAGTGCGCAGGAGGCAGCAGATCGATGTTTCTCGCTCGTCAATGTTTCTAGCTCTCTATCCCTCTCTCTTCCTTTCTGTAAAAAAATCAATAAAACATATTTTTTTTAAAGGAAAGGAATATATGATGCACCGTGACTGACCTCTACACCATCCTAGTCTGCCCAGGGTACATAGTTTTCACCTATTATCCTGGAAAACTTACTATTATGCTGTTTCATGCTCAAAAATGTCTCCATTTTGGATAGTAATTTATAGGGAGAACTGCTTATTACCTGGTTTAAGCCTTATCTTACCCTGTAGATTAGGGCTGGCAGACAAGGACACATAACAAATGCTCTTCAACAGAAAAGGAGCTGAAGGGAGCTTGGGGCCACATGTGCTGCCTGGCTCAGTCGGTTCAGGAGGACTTCAGGGCTCAGAAACATGGGTCACTGGTCACTGGCAGGAGAGGTCAGCAGGTGGCAGGGTTGAGGGTGGAGTAGCAGCCCCTCAGCAGTCCCCCTTGGTCTTGGCAGCCCATTGGGCAGAGTGAGCTGAGGCGCATGGCTGACCAGAACCAATCAGAGAGCGGCACTAGCAACACAGTCACCAGTGTGCCCTCCCTGTGCCAGACGCCTTCGTAAATGGAAGGTGGACCTCACATCGGTCCCCCAGCCAGCAAGCAGGAGTCTTTGGGCCCATGCATCTTCATGAAAACATGATCTGAAGCTCCTAATTCCCCCCAACCTACCCAACTCCTAATTCCCCCCAACCCACCCAAGCACACCGAGGCCCAGCAGTCTCCCGAATCCTCATTCAACCCACATAGCAGGCTGTGCTCTTCTCGTGGCCTCCTATGTCCATTTCCCCCTTTGACCAGCACCCAACATGCATTCCAATCCTCGAGGAATCAGAGCCAAGTCATAGACCTCAGACTCTTAGAGCCCAGCGGGCATTCCGCGGTGGCTTTGCCAATGAGGACCAGGAGCCCGGAGACTGGGACTGGGCAAGGCCCCACAGGGGTCAATGGCTCAGCCCAGCTCCGAGCCCAGGCCTCCTGGCCCCAAGCCAGGACTCACTCCCAGTGCCCACTGGGAAGTCTTAGAGGCTGTGGAGACAGCTGGCCCCGGGGCTCTCTGCAGTTGGCCTTTACAGACAAGTTCGTCACCTCTCAGGTTGGCTTCATATGGCCCTTTAAAACCAGGTGGTCTCCAAGCTCCCTGCTGAAATGAAACCACCCCACAGAGGGCACAATCCCTCCCCTTCTTCCTCGTGTCTCTCCGGGCCTGGCCAGGGGAAAACAGGATTGCATGATATGAGCTGTGCTTTGCTCTTTCCTTCCCAGGCTGCTCCTTCCTTAACGATGTTGAAGAGTCCAAGGTCGCCATCAAAGACTGTGAGTAGCTCAGGCTGCAGCTGCTGTTGGGCAGGGGTTTGATCACTCTTTCGGGACCACCCTGAGAGGGAATGGCCTGAAGCAACGCCAGGCTAGGAGACGGCAAGGGAAAATGTGGTGGACAGAGCCTGAGGCTGGGGCCTGTGACTTCCTAGCCTACCCCAGACTCAGTTCCCCTGTCTGAACATGGTGCGTAAGATCCAGAAACGGTACATCCAGAGTAACTGGCCTACACCAGTGGCATAGATGCTCTAAAACTGGTGTCCACGAGCAACAACCATCCTAATGACCATCCTAATGACCATCCTAATGACTAGAGGCTGTGGCTGAGTGCGTCTACCAGGAATCCGAGCTCACTTAGCAGGCCGAGTGTAGAAGGATAAGGTGATGGAGGACCTCAGATGGCCTGGTTCATTCTGAAATTTAGCCCTCGCTGTTTCGCTCTTGCAGATGGAGGTTCAGGAAAGAGAATTTTGTAGCTTTGATTTTTTTTTAAGATGAAGATAACGATGGTGACAGTGGTGATTGCTGTTAGCTTCTGAGCCCATGCTAAGGCTCTGGCCTGGGGACCAGGATCCGGGCTCTGGGCAGGCCCCTTCCCTCCCGGACTTCAGCTCATTCATCTGCAAAAAGACAGGGCACATGGTGACTCCAAGGAGGTGCAAGCAGAGGGGCGGATGGACAGATCGTTTCTCATGATTTATTTTTCCTTCTTTAAGTCCCAAGCAGTCACCCCAGGATTCAGATAACCTGGCGGATGAAGGAGTTTTTATTCAGTTTGAGTGCCGGCAGCCAGGTGCATGCTCCACGTGCTGTAGCTTAGGCAGGCGCCCAGTGCCCCCACGGAGCCTGGAGCCCTCAAAGAGCAGCTCTGCATTCCTCGTGAACAAAGCTCCCACAGAGCTCCCTGGTTCTGGTGGAGTCCCTTCTCACCATTTGCAGCCATTGGGCGAGGGGTGCAGGCCCCAGCTTTCACCACCCAGCCCAATTCAGGCGCAGCCCCTAGAAGAACTGAGCCCACTGAGGCCCAGGGGCCATTCCTGAGTCTAAGTCCAGGGCAGGGTTCTGCTGTCGTAGCTAAGCAGCAGTGAACTTGACCTGACCAACCCATTCTCGGGGTCAGATTCTCCATGTATAAAGGAGTGTCTATTTGTCAGCCTGCCTTCCTCACAGCATAAGAGGAAGAGGGGCTAGGGAGGAATACTGTGTCCCCTAAGTTCTTTAGAATATACTGTATACTTGAATATATAACTAGCCACAACTAGAGCTGGTACAATAATACTAACAATAACAGCTAGCTTTTACTGGAAGCTTTCTGTGAGTCAAACCCTGTGCCAGAATCTTCATAGACATTGTCTCTTCTTTCCTAAAACCCTGTAAGGCAAGTGCTAGTACCATAGGCTTTTCACAGGGGTAGAAACCAATGCTTAGTAGGGTGAGGTGACAAAGTTAGAAGGCGACAGATGATCCGGGTGTGTGTCTAAATCTGAAGCTCTGAATTGCTTTGCTTCCTCATCCATCTCTTTGTCTTTTCTTTCATTCATTCATTCATTCGATAAACATCTATGGAACACCTACTATGTGCCAGGCCTTGAACTAGGCACTGGTCCCTTTGCTTTCACCTGTGTTCCTTCCCGTCTGTTCTCCATTTACCAGCCAGAGGGCTCTTCTTAAAATGGGGATCTTGTTGAACTCCCAAGTCTTCGCTTTACTCTATGAATAAAATAGCAAGTTCTGCAAAGAAGGCCCTACATGACCTGCCGGCAGCCCGAGCACCCGATCCCTCCTCCATCCGGCTCCTTCTCATCTTTCTCTCTCAGAGCAAATGTCTCCTTTTCAGGAGACCCTCCTGGGCCACACCATCTAAATTACCTCCTTTTCTCCACCTTAGCCCTCTATCCAATTAAGAGTTCCTTCCCAACCCTTAAAAAAAAAAAAAAAAAAAAAAAAAAAAAAAAAAAACAGGGGCAATTTGTTTGTTCCATCTAGTTTTCCCTCGGCCACTAGTCCTTAAATCCCACAGGATCAGGGACCAAGTTCGTCTCATTCGCTCTTGTATCCCCAGCATAGAGCCCAGACCTGGCACAGAGCAGGTCCCCAGTGTTGGGTGCAAACTCTCCTGAAAAACAAATACTGAGTCTTTGGCATCTTTGCACCCCCCCACATACACCTACTAATCACCCCCAAAGCACCCAGCATGGTGTCTTCTCCCTAAGAGAGGTTCAATCCATTTGCCTACTGGGGTGTGACGTGAGGTCTGCATGTGGCCTCTACATTCCTTCCTACAGCTGTGACTCCTTCTGTTCCAGATGCTGAGCCCAGCTGCCTGAAAACAAGCGGCGTCAAAAGTCAAGGCTGTCACAGTCACGGTCACAGTCGAACAAGTAAGTGTAGAGACGCCCCTTCCCATTTCTAACGTCTTCAAACCATTCACGAGACAAGGTCACCCAGTCTCATCAGATTTGAAACTGCCTGTCTACACAGGACCAGGCATTGCCCACCTACAAGTTGGTCAAGACATTGACAATGATTTTGATGAATGCTGTCTAACTCACATTTCTTTCTTTTTCTCTTGGGAAATGAGGAAGTAGAGACAATTTCTAACCACGAAGAGGAAAGGTTGATCTGTCCTGGTCTATGGGTAGGGGGAGGCGGGTTTTTGCCCTGAAGTGGTCAGGGACCGCAGCAGAAAAAAGCACCAGGAGTTGGCAATCCTGTTAGCCTTTCCCAGAACTGAGACAGACCTGCCCGGAGCCGCTCACCTGCTGAGCTTGGTTCCAGCCACTTGATCTGTATTAAATCCTAACCCTCTAACCTCCACTATGAAGTGGGCACTCTTATGATCCCAGTCTCCAGGTGATGAGAGAGATTGCAATGACAGAGCTAGGAAGGGGGCCGTCCACACCCCGATCCCAGGCAGCTGGACTCTGGAACCAGCCGAAGCCATAAGGCAGTGGAGCAAGGAAAATACCAGCTTTTTGTGAAAAATCTCATTGTGGGGTTGGTCCACCCAGACAGCTGTGGCTGTGGGGGCTTAATACAGCCCTCTGCCTGTCTGAAAGCATGAGAAGATTGTTTGATGGTCATTTCATGAATTCCCTGAGAATGACCCCGTGTGCCACAGAGCAGGGGAAGGCCACTGCCCGTCAATGCGTCCCCGAATGTCTGTTTTGAGACAGACGCTTCCCAGCTCGGCGAGGTTCCAGCCTAACCCCACAAAGCAGCAATTCTGGTATGCTCCTGGGTTCATGAGAAATGCCACAACTCTCCCCTTAAAATTAAAAAAATTTAAAAATCCAGTAATTTCCTCTCCTCCCAAAGGCCTCCAAAGCTCTCACCTCTGGGAGTTTGTGCGTGACCTGCTCCTGTCTCCAGAGGAAAACTGCGGCATTCTGGAGTGGGAGGACAGGGAGCAGGGCATTTTTCGGGTGGTGAAGTCAGAAGCCCTGGCCAAGATGTGGGGACAGAGGAAGAAAAACGACAGGATGACGTACGAGAAGCTGAGCAGAGCTCTGAGGTGAGTTAAGGGCATGAAATGCCCCAGCCTCGGGCGGTGACATAAAGGGGCCGGCCCCAGAACGGCACCATGTTTCTACAGCTTTTTTTCTTCTTCTTGATAATCGAAAGGTCATGAGACAACACTCCGCTTCTTAGTTCCAGGTGGGATTACGGTTCGTAAATGGACCTTTTCCTTCTTGGCAGTGTTCCCGGGAATCACTGTGAATGAATCCGGCCATCACACACACACACACACACACACACACACACACACACACACACACCACACACACACAACACACATATACTCATACACTCATACACACACATACACACACATGCACACGTGCGCGTGCACACACATACACACATATACACGCATATATAGACACATATGTATACAAACACACGTGCACAGACATGCACACACATACACACCACACACTCATACGCTCATACACACACATATACACACATACACACATATATACACGCGTGCGTACACACACAAATACACACATACACATATATACAAACACACACATACACACACATACACACACTCATACACATACTCATACACACACAGAGAACACGTTGGGAGCGGAATGTGGGAGGTTCCGTCTTCGAGGTGTCTGGGAAAGGATTGAGTGTAAGCTGAGAGCGGGGTGTGAAAATACCAGGGTAACCAAAGCCCGGCCTCGTCACCCGAGAAGAATGGGGAGAGGGTGTTTATGTTCCGGCGCTGGCCTGGGGTGCAAGCCCTCCCCCCGTCTCCCGCCTGCTGTCTTTCTCAGGTACTACTACAAAACGGGAATTCTGGAACGGGTCGACCGAAGGTTAGTGTACAAATTCGGAAGAAACGCACACGGGTGGCAGGAAGACAAGCTATGATCGGCTCCCTCGGCTGGCTCCTGCGAATGGATTTCTGTTTTCAAACGCTCAGATCGCCACAGACGTTTGAAAGTCTTGGTTTCCGGCTTTTGGTTTGTTTGCTTTTTAACCGTGCAAACGTGCTGATAAAGTTTCTCCACGTCTCGGCTTACATTTGCATTCAGAGTTGTTGTTGTCTACTCGCGGGTGATCGCAGCAACCCTTAACAAATGCGGCTGCTGTTGTTTTTTTAACCCGAGGGAAGGGGGGATGGGGTGATCTTTCCTGATACTTTGAGCAAACATTGCTTCCCTAAGTGGAGAGGGCTGAGCCTCAGCAGCCAGGGCCTGGGGAAAGGACCCGGCTCTGCCTTGACCCACCACCAGGTGCTCCCATCCCCAACGTGTGCACACACTTAGCTGCAGCAGCTCACGAAGGGAAGCAGTGATTTCGTTCGTGGTTAATGTAACAGGAAGGCGTGACGTGTGCTAAGACTAACATACTGTAGGCTTTGCTTCGTTAAAATAAAATTCCATAGAAAAGCTTCTTAATTAGTCAGAGGGCTAAGCCATCCAGCTGGCACACCACTGGGCTGAGCGTAGGTTAACAGGAGTTTCTCAACCAGCACATCTTTGTGGCCACTCACCTGCACTCCCACGGCCATCCTGACCCAATAATAACACACTTACCATGAGACACATTCATATGTTCTTCATTCTTTTTTTTTTTAACTATATTTTATTGATTTTTTTTTTTTTTACAGAGAGGAAGTGAGAGGGATAGAGAGCTAGAAATATCGATGAGAGAGAAACATCGATCAGCTGCCTCCTGCACACCCCCCACTGGGGATGTGCCCGCAAACAAGGTACATGCCCTAGACCGGAATCGAACCTGGGACCTTTCAGTCCGCAGGCTGACGCTCTATCCACTGAGCCAAACTTGTTCCAGCTATTCTTCATTATTGCTGAGTTTATTCCCCCTCTTCTCCTGCTTGGGTGGAGGGGGGCCTAGGAGAGGGTGTCATTGGACAGGCAACGGCACTTGCTTCAATTCCCAAATCACGGCTATTTCTACAACTCAAGCTGTCAACCTGATGAAATCATAATTCGTTGATTCTGTCCGTGCCCAATGGAAATGTCCTGACAGCTCAGTAATGGCCAATGAAGTGAGTCTCTTTTGTTCTGCCCTCCTACCTGATGTGTACTCAAGCTTACCTGTGTACCCAAAACATATTACCTTGGCAAAAACGGCACCTACATGTTCACAGGTTACAGTGTGCACTGACAGGCTCATCAGTCACTGGTGGGTAAGCCACGAGTGGCCTCCAACTAGAGGCTCAGCTGGGATGTCTACATCACCAGAGCAGGGAGCTTCACGGGGAGAGCCACTGCACCCCAGTCCTGCGCTGAGGACTCCATGCTTAGAGTTTAACTTCAAAAGTAACCTGTTTGAGCCCAGCCAGGATGGCTCAGTTAGTTGAGTGTTGTCCTGTGCACCTAAAGGCCACCAGTTCGATCCCAGGTCAGGGCACATATGGGAGGCAACCAATACATGTTTCTCTCTCTCTCTCTCTCTCTCTCTCTCTCTCTCTCTCTCTCTCTCTCTCTCTCTCCTCTCTTTCCCTCTCTCTCTCTCTCTCTCTCTCTCTCTCTCTCTCTCTCTCTTTCTCTCTCTCTCTCTCCCCTCCCCCTCTCTCTTCAGCATATCCTCAGGTGAGACTTAAAAAATAAAAGGGAGCTTGTTTTTAAAAAATGTGAACTGCTGTAAAATAATCTATTTTTGGACTCCTGTGTTTCCCAGTTGGATATAGTTTGTACACAATGTGAATAAAATATTTAACATGTTGAAACTGTCTCTGTTTGTTAACTTCAGCGGGACATACCCAGCAAAGCCCTGGCAGCCTAAACCTCTGATGACCCTTCCGTTGCCTACCTTAGGAGATGGGGATTTTTAAAGTTGCCCTTAGATAGGCAAAAAATACTTGGAGTAATTCTACCTCCATAAGACAGAGGTCCCCTCAAAAAACAGCCCTAGGCAGTAGGGCTCAGTGGATAGAACGTCGGCCTGTGGACCAAAGGGTCCCGGGTTCGATTCCAGTCAAGGGCATGTACCTCAGTTGCAGGCTTCTCCCTGGCCCAGGTCCTGGTTAGAGTGTTTGCAAGAGGCAACCAATCCATGTGTTTCTCTCACATCCATATTTCTTTCTATCTTTCCCTCTCCCTTCCACTCTCCCTAAAAATCAAAGGAAAAATATCCTTGGGTGAGGATTAAAAAAACAAAACAAAAAAACAAAAAGCACACAAACAAATAAACGCATGAGCCAATGAGGCCTAGAGCTATGCACACAAACACAAAAACTCCTTTGCTTGTTCAGATTTTTGTTCTGTGTCTTCCTATGAATTAGTTTCCTTGATTACCAACTGGAAGATTTACAGAAAAATTCAGTTTTCCCATTTCTTAAAAAAAAAAAAAAAAAAAAAAAAAAAATCAGATCTGGCAGCACTGGTTTCTCCGTGCCTGGAGCTAAGTGGAGCTGTCACTTTGGGCAGAGCCTCCAGGCACCGCCTCCCAGCCTTGCTCTTGCACTACTGTGGCTGGTTTGTTAGTGTTTGTTTCACGCATCCAGAACGCTTGTACATGTTTAATTTGGGACCCGTGCCCCGGCCATCTAAAAAGGTAGGTACTATATTAATGCACTGGCTCAGAGCCCACAGCCCGGTTGAGCGTGTCCAGGAAATGGAACTTGGGTAACAAGAGGGGCAATGGGAGCTTTCAGGCAAAGAGCTTGGCAGAACCAAGCAGCTCAGGGGATGGCAGGGACTGGGGTGGGCGCAGAGCAGGCAGCACTGAACAGGACTGGGAAGCAACGGAGAATCAAGGTGATGGGGTCCTAGCCCCAGAGGGAGCATCAGGCAACTCAGAGAATTAAAACAATGAATCCCTCTGCTACTCAAGAAGTTGTCACTTTATAGAACCATTAAACGTGCATCCTTTTTGTGTTAAGTGTCCTAAGGCTGCCCAAGACAATTCACCAAATTTGGTGGCTTAAAAGCAACAGAAATTGCCCTGGCCAGTGTGGCTTAGTTAGTTGGGCGTCGTCTGGTGCGTCTGGTGCACTGAAGGGGTTGCTGATTCGATTCCTGGTCAGGGTACATGCCGAGGTTGTGGGCTCAATGCCCGGTAGGAGACATGCAGGAGGCAGCCAATCAGTATTTCAGTTCCACACCGATGTTTCACTCTTTCCTCTTTCTCCCTTCCTCTCTCAAAAATCAATTTTAAAATCTTTAAAAAATTCTTTTAAAAACCTAGAAATTTATTTTTTCACAGTTCTGGAAGCTGGAAGTCTGGTGTTGGCGGAGCTAGGCTCCCACACGGACTCTAGGGATGGGCCCTCCGGCCTATTCCAGCTCCTGGGGGCTCCAGATGTTCTGTAGATTGTGGCTAACGCTCCGATCTCAGCCTCCCTCTCTATACGGCCCACCCTTCCGCCTCCCCTTTGCTCTCTGAGAAGGACGCTTTTCATTGGATTTAGGGCCCACCTCATCTCGGGACCCTTAGCTTCATGACCTGCAAAGACCCATTTTCCAAAGGTCGCCTTCACAGGTTCCGGACGTTGGGACATGGACATGTCCTTTGGGGGCCATCATTCAGCCCACGCTGCCCTTTAAAATGAGGGTTTTACATAAATAGTTTCATAAGCCAATTCATCCAAGAACAGAAAATACAAGGGACTGTTTAAAATTAGACTTTAAGCAAGCAATACAAAGAAATGACTAAAAACAACAGAAAATACCAAGTTCGCTTAGCAAACAGTCAAATGAGAAAATACATATCCCCTTCGTAAAAAGGATGACCCTGGGGCTTTCCATAGCAAACTTCCCGTGTTACTAGGAGAGAAGATGGTGGAGATAGCCAAGTAAAGGCAACTCTTTTCAGGTATTTTTCAGTAAAGGGGGCAGAATAAAGAGGGCAATAACAGGAGAGGCCTGGAAGATGAAGAGCAGATCTGAGGAGACTTGTAACAGCAGGTCTGCACACCAAGGGGGCTGATGCAGAAAGAAGGAAAGAACTGGCGATGCGAGAGAGGGCAGGGGTAACTCCCAAGGAGGCGGGGGGCAGGAGGCAGAGGACGGTGCTGTGTGGTCTGCCCTGGGGTGGGAGCACAGCTCACCTGTCAACGGGAAGGAGAGAAGAGCATGTGGCGCTGGGGATTCCGGTGGAGGAAGAGCTTGGGGAGTTACTCTGTCCACCTTGAGGGGTGGGGGGACAGTGGAGGGCTTGCTGAGGATGGGGAGACTGACTTACACACAGTGCCGAGGGCCTGCTTAGGGTTGGCAGTCACGTGTGTAAAAGCCCAGGCAGCAGGGCTGCGTTTTGCTCCAGCCACAATCATCTCAGCCCAGGAGGGGGTGGGTTTTACCAGGCTGGGTCTGCAGTAACTATGACTTTAAATATAAAACCTAAGCAGAGTAAGAAGGGGAAGTAATAGCAATGAAGAGAGTGATGACCAGTGAAGTTTCTGGTATTGTGGAAAACTGACGGGAGGGGAGTCTGTGCTAAATTCTTCAGAAATGTTCACACACGTGCACACACACACACACGCACACACACACACACGCAATCAGCTCCATGGGTAGAGTACAATTCCTCACTCTTTGGCTTTGGGCTTAGCCACATGACTTGCTTTGGCCAATGTCGCTGAGCATGATAAAAATAAAGCCTTGAAACACACCTGTGCAATTGTCATCCCAATTTCCTGAGAAAGGAAAAATTGGAGGTTTCCTTTTCTTGCATTCTGGCACTTTGTCATCGTTGCTGGCTAGCCATCACCATGGGTAGCATGTATCTTAATGTCACTTAAAAGGGATATAATTAGCCCTAACTCGTTTGGCTCAGTAGATAGAGCGTCGGCCTGCGGACTGAAGGGTCCCAGGTTCGATTCTGGTCAAGGGCATCTACCTTGATTGAGGGCACATCCCCAGTAGGGGGTGTGCAGGAGGCAGCTGACCGATGTTTCTCTCTCAATGATGTTTCTAGCTCTCCATCCCTCTCCCTTCCTCTCTGTAAAAAAAAAATCAATAAAATATATATTTTTAAAAAGGGATATAGCCCTAACTGGTTTGGCTCATAGAATAGAGCATCGGCCTGTGGACTGAAAGATCCCAGGTTCGATTCCAGTCAAGGGCATGTACCTTGTTTGCAGGCACATCCCCAATAGGAAGTGTGCAGGAGGCGGCTGATCGATGTTTCCGACTCTCTGTCCCTCTCTCTTCTTCTCTATAAAAGTCAATAAAATATATGTATATTTTTAAAAAGGGATATAATTAGAGAGTGCTTCCTAGGAAGTAAAACCTACCTGGGGAAGTTCACCTTGTCAATATTTATCTTTGAAAATCACAAACGAGGTCTCCAGAATAAAATGGGAGGCACTTCCATGTATCAGACTACATACAAGAAACATAGTAGATACATGTGATTTTAACCATGGATTTATTTTTACACTACAGAATAGAACAAAGCAGAAAATTATCTCAAAATTTCTGTCTTTGTTTATAACCAATATTTAAGTGAATAACCTCCTTCCCATTGTCAAATTATATTAATTTTTATCAGTTTATCTTATATATTATATAACTATAGAAAAGCTACTATATTGTAAGTACGTTTACTTTCTATGTGTAAAAATACAACAGTTTCCAAGTGTACTCAAACATCAGAGGAATTTAGGCAAGAGAGTCTTACAGGAGAATAAAGAAGTTTGGGCTAAAAGACTGAGAATTTGTATTGCTAGTGTTCTTGTGGTTTCCTCAAGCTGAAGATCTCAGGGCACTCCTAAGAGTGGTACAAACCTGTTTTGAAGATCTGAGATGAAGGGAATGCGTAGTTAAGGTAAATAGGTTTCCACTTAGTATTCAGAATTTACCTTTAAGTATTCCACTTGACTTGTGAGCAAACATGGGTTTTAAGAAAAGAATATGAAGTTCTGAGCCCTTATTTAAAAACTCATAAGCAGATGAGGAAGTAAGCTAATGAACAAGAGATCGAGGTGATTTTCAAAGTTGGGCAGTTTGTTATTTTGACTGTATAATTAAGGTTCTGGTCCACAGGGTCTTAAGGCAAATAACATAGTATCCTCATGATATTGGTGTTTTCAGTTTTAAAGGTAAGCATCTGCTAACAAATGATATTCAGATTAAGAGTTCTGTGGGACATCCCAAATTATATATGGAGCCGAAAGAAATCAAATACCATTCTTCTAGTCTTATGTATGGATTGTTTTATTGTAAAAATTTAGTAATTATAAATCAGTCTGTTGTAAAATCAATGTACGTTAGCATAAATGTAATTCCAAGTTGTTTTTATAAATCTGATTAGTTCCAAGCAGAAATAAGCATTAAGCCACGATGGTGTTGAGGTTATCTTCAAAAGACACCAAGGTGTTTTTCCTGTAAGGAACTCAGAAACATTAAAAAGTCTGAGTGGATTATCTTTGTGTTTTCTTCATATATAACAACCATATTCTTATATAATAGGCCATGAGATGATAATGTAAACATACTAATTTCACCAAGATTTTTTTTCTTACCATAAGAAGTTATATTTCTGCTAGAAACTTTCATTCTGATCATTTCAAGTGAAGAATCCAACCAACTGTCAAAAGCAAACACCTATCTTTTAAGTGATTCTTAAGCTCTAATCTTCATTGTCCCCTTCGTGGTCATTAAAAGCCATTATTACATTATTTGCTATGGAAACCGGGTTATCATCTGAAAGACTTGCATTTGCACATCTAGCACGGCAGAATCTTCTATCCAGTGGTGAGTGGGTGAGCGAATTCCATACTTTGCTTCAGAGGCGGAGAGAAACTCTGCACCAGACCGGGGCCCAGACCCTCACAGGTTAGCTTTCTCCCTTGCAGCCAGGTGAGACCCATGCTGAGTGAAGGTGTGAATCGCATTCTGTTTTAAAAGAACAAGACCAGCAGATGAATTAACTCTCTGGGCAGCGGCAGCTGGTAGTGATCTGAGCTTTCACTCGTGCTCAAATGAACATAATAATTCAGAACTCATTCGCCTTCAACTCCCTTATACTGTCCAAAGCTAAAAGCGTGTTTTGCATGTGAGTTCTTTAGACCCCAAAAGAGTTTCTGAACAGCTGCTTTAAGTAACCTAATAGTTGTGCCCGAGGAGAACCATCCTAGAAGGAAACCACACGATGCCTCGTCTAACCCGGGCACACACGCTCTGCCCAGCTGGCCCGCCCTGGGCTCACCTTAGGCTTCTCGGCGTTGTACTTGTCCAACAGAGCCTGGATGCGGGCCCCGTAGTCAGGATGGACATCGCTGAAGTTCTTGACCTGAAAAGAAATGGAGATATTAGCTTAGTGCCTCCTAGGACGGTGTCTGTTTCATGATGTTCACTTCGGGGGGGAAAGGATGCTGCCTCGGGAAGTGGAACCCCACAGCGGTCAGCAACCCAGAGAAAGACGCTGACGGGCACTGAGCAACCTGAGATAAGCCATTCTTCTGCGCATGCCCACCGCCCACAAGGTGAGTCAGATAATGCACCTCCCTCGCACACTCCGGTGAGAAGATGCACAACTGACTGCATGTAGAGCTGACCTCAGAGGACGCAAGTTACAGTGATTTGTATTAAGAAACGGGCCTTGATGCTGCCTAAATTAAAATATACAAAGTCATTGCCACATGCTGGGCAATTCCACACGCTTCAAGCAGGAATTCCCTGCTGCTGGGCTGGGCCCCAGCAGGCAGCAGGGAGAGATGGGGCATCCACAGGAAGCCGTACAGCTTCGGCACATGTGAGAAGAACACAAGGAGTTCGCTCCTTACACGCTGAGCCTTAATCATTCTCGTCAGGAAGGTAAGACCCAACCTGCCCCAACTATCTCATGGAGCAACTGTCTGGAGAGATGCCATATCCAGAGGACAGAAAGTAATCAGTTCTCATTTTCTTTCTTTCCCCCCCCCCCCCGGTATGACTTTATTTATTAATTTTATTGTTGTTATTATTATTATTTATTTATTTTTATTTTATTGTTTAAGGTATTGTTTAAGGTAGTCCATATGTCTCCCCCCCCCCACTGACCTCCCCCAGACTCTCCTACCACTGGCATTTGCCCTCGTACTGCCGTCCCCAGTGTCTTGCTTCTGTTGGTTGTACTTATATGCATTCATACAAGTCCTTCCATTGATCTCTTACCACCCCTCCTCCACCCCCAACCCTTTCTTACCTTCCCGCCCAGTCTGCCACTCGGGACCAGGTGGCCTGCCTCTAAATATGTGTGATGCATGACAGGTGACATCCAGAGGTTGGACACATCCCAGGGAAGCCCCGGGCCACTCACTCACTCTAATTCCCTTGATTTTTTCCCCCTTTTCACTCACAAAAGCTTATTGGAATGAGAGCTAGAGGCATTGTTTTGAGGATAACTACCCTCATTTATTTAGCTCTTTGCCAAAGTGACTGCCCCAAAGCTCCAGTTCCCTAAATTGCATAGGAGACCTCTCAAATGGCAACAGATCCCATTTTCTTAAGCCCACTTAGCACAAGTAAAATAAAAAGGACTCGGTTCCTCTCCAGGGTTCTCTCACAGCTGCACTCCCTCCTCCAGCCAGCAGAGGCCGCCCTTCAGCTGCCCAGGCCTCACTCACCGCTTTCTTCTGGATGAACTGCTGGGCGTCCTTCAGGTGGCCCGCGATGTTCTCACACAGGCGCTTCCTCTGCTCCTCGTTCAGCACTTTGGTATAGAACGTCCGCACCTGCTCGGTGAACATACACAAGGGGGGGGGGGGGGGGGGGAGAGTGCGATCGCCACTTTATCACACGCAAAACTCACCCTGGATGCCACTTTTGAGATGAAAAGGTGAGACTTCCCATTTGTGGAAGAATGGAAGTTTTTAGAATTTAAGAATAATTTTAAATTTACAGTTAAAACTGTCATTTGTGGTGAGCTCTTCACTTTTTGTTTTGTTTTATTTTAAGCAAAATAGGAGGAATTCAGTTGTTAACAGCTCGTGACTGCTATTCAATAATGTCTTTTGTAGTCGCTGCTAATAAGTCACTTATAAACATAAGGCAATATAGCCTACCGTTAAAAATCCCTCCACACTCTTAATACTGAGAAGTCTGGAATGTGCAAGTGATCACCAAATAGCCAGTTAGCACAACCTTTGTTCAATACACTCAGAACCAGGGGAAAGAAACCTAATTCGTTTACATCCTTAGCTATTCAAAAGTCAAGATTTCTGGGAGGATGTTAAGTGATATTTTCCTGAGGTTATTGGGTTAACCTCTAAAATTAATAGCAATAGATTAAGATTAAAAACAGAAGCTAAATAGCAGGCATGAGCTCCAATAGCCTCTGCTCATTTCTGAAAATCAACCTCGGTCATGGCAAAACCACAGCAATGTCACAACGGAAGCCATGAGGCAACGAGGAGAAAAGTATTCGAAAGCAGAAACGGATGGAGGGAGAGTAAGAGTCGTGTGAACGAGGCGCCCCACACCTGCACTCCTGCCACTGAGGCCCCCAGAGCTATTTGAATCCAGCTCCAGTCCCTAAAATCTGTTAGTCCTGCCCGGATCTGGCTGCATTCAAGCTTACTTTGCCCATGTCTTAGATTTCCATGGAATCACTTCTTCCCCAATGGCCCTCGCCGTACCCCTTCAGCGACATTTGGGAGAACTGAAAGGAGGCAGCCCTCGTACGGGGAGAGCAGAGTAACCACTCCCCCACGCCGCCCGGTAAAGGCTTATGATTAGAGGCGTCCTCCCTGAGTGCGTGGAGGGGGGCATCGGCCACGCCACAGCAGACGAAGGAGCCGTTACCTGGGAGACGTTGTCGTCGTTGGCACTGTTGTAGCGCCGCACGTCCCCGGAGAAATGGGTGCTGCTCTCCAGGGCGAACCGCGGCTGCTGCTCGGGGGCGCTGAAGCTGTTGGGGTAGTAGTTGGGAGCCCCACCTTTAAAGGCAAACCGCACAGTCACTTTGAGGAGGAGCAAATGAGGGAGTCTACAGACAGTGCAACATGAAATGCATTCAATTATGGATGTACATGTATACACATATACACATACATACATATGTACAAATACATCTACTTGTCATGCACATGTTATTTTTAATGTATCATATTTGCCCACAGGCAATACTCCTTAGTTTCTTAGAGAATATCCGCCATCTTCCAAATGCTCGCATGGGCTACCTCGATCTGGGTCTTAATGAAGAGATCTCAGATTCCCCTTGAACACGTCAATGATGGGATCTGTGAAATCTGAGGCTTGCCAGTACAAATACATTTCTTCAGATTTGATTTGACCCTCCCCCACTCCCATAGAAAACGAGACCCAAAGACACATTCCAAACTTCAGGATTTCATGCGGGCTCAGGTGCGATTCAAACAGTCACAGAATTCTTGGGAGCAACTCCATGTTCCAGCTCCGCTCCTCCAATGACAGCCCTGAGGTCTGAAGCAGTAATCGGTGGTAGATCTGGGACTAACACTCTGGGTCTTTTGCCTCTTCCATTCCAGCACGCACTATATTCCCATGACACAGCTCTGCTTTGCTTTTCCTTAGGTTTTTAGATCCTTTGGGTATGCCCCTGTATTATTATGACTTTATTCAATTCACTCTGACTTCTCTCAAAAGATAAATAAAGTAGACATTTTTAAAACTTTGATATATTTCTAGTATATCAGCATCATTTATCTGGACTTACAGGGGGAAAAAATGAAAACTATAATCAAAAATTGTTATGACTTCTAGAAAAAAAAATATGAAGCTTTTTTCCCCTTCTTTTTTTTTAAATTATATTTTATTGATTTTTTACAGAGAGGAGGAGAGAGGGATAGGAGCTAGAAACGTCGATGAGAGAGAAACATCGATGAGAGAGAAACATCAACCAGCTGCCTCTTGCACACCCCCTACAGGGAATGTGCCCGCAACCAAGTACATGCCCTTGCCCAGAATCGAACCTGGGACCTTTCAGTCCGCAGACCGACGCTCTACCGCTGAGCCAAACCGGCTTCAGCTTTTTTCCCCTTCTTGGCATATTTATTTTCCTAACTCCACTCTGCTTTAGCCGATATTAGCAGGAGCCTGAATTATCTGCACACACAATTGCCAAAGGGAGGGGCTTAGAAACATGCTAAGTGGCTTGAGAAAGCAGCATGGAGCTGGCGTTTTACCCAGCGCACTGCAAGAATACACGACTACCCAGAGTGGATAGTGAAGGGGTGCCTCCTGTCACATGACTAAGGTCCCACGTGCATGCAGAAAGAGGGAGGACAGCATACGAGTAGGGAGCCCAATCATTAGCTCCAGAAATGCATTCTAGGTCAACCACATCTCCATGGAAAGCAAAGTGCCCTGATAACCACCGGCCGCAGTGGTTTCCTGAGTTAAGTGCTTCTTCTTCAAAATGTGCCCAGTTGAGTAATGTTTAAGTTCTATTTCCAAATACGCTCCAGCCTTTCCTCAGGATGGGAGTTGTCTTCAAGTCCTTGACTTCTGGGAACAAGTAAGCACTCTCACTGAATGCAAAGAGCACAGCTCAAAACAGGGAGGCAAAGGTTGCACGAAATACATACACAAATAGCTTTGCACATGTTTACCACTTAGAATGGTAAACAAGAAGCAATTACTGCCCTAGCTGGTTTGGCTCAGTGGGTAAAGCGTCAGCCTGCGAACCAAAGGGTCCCAGGTTCGATTCCAGTCAAGGGCACGTACCCAGGTTGCAGGCTCCTCCCTGGCCCAGGCCCTGGTCAGGGCTCGTGCAGAAGGCAACCAGACAATGTGTCCCTCTCACATCGATGTCTCTCTCTTTCCCTCTCTCCTCTACTCTCCCTAAAAATCAATGGAAAAATATCCTCAGGTGAGGGTTAACAACAAAAAAGAGAGCATGGATTTCTCTGACTCCTCACAAGTGAACAATTTCCAGGAACAGCCAGTCTCAATAACAAAGGGATGAAATAAAAAATCACTTTAGAAAAAAGATGCAGAAGACAGAAGACAGACGCAAGAAATATCAATTAATCTGCGCAATAATACACTCCATACTTCTATAAACTTCAGAAAGCAGGAAGAGGGTAACCACCCAATGTAATCAGTTAGTGAGCATATACACTTGTTAAATAATGGAAAAGGCTTAGTGATAATACTAACAAGTGCAAGGCCCAAAATTATATATGTGAAACAACCATAGGTGTATAAAAAAATCATAAAAGACTGGCAAGAAAAGTAACAAAATGTAACTGTTGTGGCTTGTAGGGGTTGGAAATGCAAGTGGGTTTTTCTTCTCTCTTTTCTTTTATCTTACAGTTTCCAAATTTCCTTTAGGGCACAAGTAGAATCTTTATTAGAAAAATCACCTTTGTTTGAATATAGACATCTAGGGCGATAGATATAACTGAATAGTAAAATTTCTGAAAAGATCACTGTAAGCAGCCTATTACAAAAACACGTGTCCTAAACAGGAAAATAAAAAAGGAAACTACGATCTATACTAAACTGTGGAATATTAAAAGGAAAAAAAAAAAACATTCACTAAGCATTCTCTGATTAGAACAATAATTAAAAACTGAAGCTGTTTGTACATGGCACCCAAGGAAAAAAAAACATAAATGTGATAAATGAGCTCAAAAAAAAAAAAAAAAAAAAAAAAGCAGCGGAGTCTCATCTCACCAGCTGATTCACATGAATTCAACTATATTCTCTTAACAAAGCACAGTGGGGGAGGATCCCTTGATTTTCCTCTCCATCCCCTATTTTCTAGCTTCCCCCACCCCCTCCAAATTCTAGCTAGACTTCTCGATAGCCCTGGCAGAAGTGCAGAGACAGGAAAGCCAGGGTAATGTAAGGAACTGTCCGCTTCGGGGGAGTCTTTAAAACCCCTGGGTTAGACGCGACTCAACTACAGTCACTGAGCAAGCCCTTCCTCCCTGCCTCTCACTATAGGATGGACAGTGAGGAAGACCAGAGGTGGCACTCTCTATGAACATAACACAGCTAACAGAATGGAGAGTCCTCGGGGAGTTTAAACCTTCACTGCAGGGTGGCCAGAATTATGTGGTTGGCAGGAGTGCCTCTGTGAGCCCCTTCCCAGAGCCGGAGGTCCCTCGGGGCCAGACTGGAAACCGCTGTCCCACCCTGTGCTCAGCAGCGCCCTCCGCCCTCCCAGGAAGCCGGGAGTCTCAGGCTTACCCTGGTTGTCCACCACGCACATGGGGCCGTCACGCTGGTAGTTGGCCACTCGAGCACGGTAGGGACAGTTCACAGGGATCTGGAGGTAGTTGGGGCCCAGGCGGTGGCGGTGAGTGTCAGGATAGGAAAAAAGGCGGCCCTGCAGTCATAAATGAAACGGATATTGTGAGCAGTGAGGAAAAGAAGCAAGTTTCTGCAAAATCAACTGTGCACGTAGGTAGGTATTCAATGTATGTTAGTTAATATGACTAAAACTAATGAAAAACGTATTTTTCTATAAAAGTCTCAGAGTTCCACCGAAACTGGTTTGGCTCAGTAGATAAGAGCGTCAGCCTGCAGACTGAAAGGTTCCAGGTTCGATTCCAGTCAAGGGCATGTACCTTGGTTGCAGGCACATCCCCAGTAGGGAGTGTGCAGGAGGCAGCTGATCGATGTTTCTAACTCCTTCTCCCTCTCCATTTCTCTCTGTAAAAAGTCAATAAAATATATATATTTAAAAGTCTCAGAGTTCCCAATGTCAAAGCGGAAAAAAATGTTATTATTAAATAAAACCGGGAACTTTTAGTAAGCGTGCCTCCAAAGAATGATGCCTCGTCAGCCCATGTGGCTCAGTGGTTGAGCATCAACCTATGAACCAGAAGGTCAAGGTTTGATTCCCAGTCAGGGCACATGACCGGGTTGCAGGCTTGATCCCCAATAGGGGCCATGCAGGAAGCAACCGATCAGTAATTCTCTCTCATCATGGATGTTTCTTTCTCTCTCTCCCTTCCTCTCTGAAGTCAATAAAATATATATTTTAGTGTCTAGTTCTGACACCAGAACTAGAACCACATGCGTCCAGCAGCACAGTCACTGCAGTCTGACCTGGTGCAATCTTTAACTTCTGTTTCATGATCATAGTCCAAAATCCAAAAAGACTTGATTTACTCAGTAACTGGTAAGCCAATTATTCTCCTACTAATGTCTGGTCCTCAGAATAGTCTCACTCTTTGTGCAGGAAAAAGAGCATATTGAAAAGGGAAGGAAAAGGACCGAACGCATAAGGACATAACCAAGACTCATAGTTAAATTAACCCACTGCCCTTCGCCACTGACAACAGTCAATTTAGCTTGAAAAACCATGTCTGGGTCTCTTCCAGCATCACCATGAAGAGGAAAAGAATAAAATTAGGTTGACCAAGGTGTTATAATCAACTAAAAAATACTCCCTCCTGCCAGTTACAGACTGAACCAAGGGTGCTTTCTATACTCTACAAATACCTGTGGCATTTTCTAATATAACTTCTTTAAGATGAAGGGACTAAATGTCAGTGTTAACATACTGAGGGACTTTGCCAGGAGATGTAGTTTATACTGTAATGCCCATCTCAAAATGTTCTAGTCAAGTCCCACAGAAACTAAGGACCCAGGTTAATTAAAGTTTAAGTGATGTTCTAGTTAATTCTTCATACAAAAGATCTCCCCAAATCACACTGTGTGTTTGAGTGTGTGTGTACCCATGCACACGCGTACACTTGCAGGTACTCCGGCCTCAGTGCCTCCCAATCCACGGGTTTACCTGAAGCATCTTGTCAGGGCTGGGCTCAATGCCAGGCGGCATGTTGCTCGGGTCGAAGGCCAACTGCTCAACCTCAGCAAAGTAATTGACTGGGTTCCGGTTTAAGACCATCTTACCAACTGGGATAAGAGGGTAGTCCTTGTGAGGCCAAACCTAGAAATAATGTGATATTCACAATTACCAGACAACCAATGGAAGCAAATTAAAGTACCCACACACAAAAAAAAAAATTGCCAGCTTTCAAATAGAATGAAGCCAATGATAGATAGTAAGTAAAAATAATAATGTTTAATCCAAGAAGATGATAAGAACTTCAGATAAGTGCCTTGGTTAAATCTTTCACAACCGTGAACAGTAAATATTGACACTTTCCCTGGGCAAAAGTACATCAGCTTTTCAAAATTTGCTCCCTGCTGATAGCAATATATTAGTTGGAGCATCAGCCCGTAAATCAAAAGATTGTGGGTTTAATTATAGGTCAGGGCGCATACTTACTTTCGGGTTGGATCCCTGGCTGGAGTGCCTATGGGAGGCAACCAATCGATATTTCTCTCACATTGATGTTTCTCTCTCCAAACATCAATAAACATTTTTTTAATTAAAAAAAAAACAAAAAAACAAAAAAACACAATATATCAAGCCAGGCAGACTCGATGATCTTACAGTTGGGAACTGGTGAGACTCCTTCACAGGCTGGGAAACCACAAAGCGGTCCCACCTCGGTTTGTACACAACTTCCCCGCCATAAGGAGTGTTTGACTGGAAATGTGTTAAAATTGGGTACAAAAAAGACTTAAAGAAGAAAACAGCTTAGTTATTAACGGACTCACCTTGGTAACATCGAATGGATTAAATGGAGAACTTTCTGCCTGACTGAAGGTCATGACCTGGATGTAAAAAGTCCAGGAGGGGTAGTTGCCGGTGGCGATGGCATTAAAGAGATCCCGAAGCCCATAGTCAGGGTCTTCTTGGGAGAGTCTGGCTGCATCTTCGACCGAAAGGTTTTTGATGCCCTGGTCAGTCTACGGAACGAAAGAAAAGGTTCCAACTGAAACTTCCTGGCACAGTGAGTGAACTCTAGCTAGGAATTCCTTGCAGGATTCTGCTCCGAGACTGGCTTTCCCTTCTAACTGTAATCCCACTGTTCAAATCTGACACAAATATGAATTTTTCAACAAGGAATTCTACTTGATTAATCTGATTCTTTTAAATGTCTAGGGAATAGATCTCTGTACTTCATATTAAAGCTAGCCATATCCTCCTTTTTTCATTCCATACTATTGGAATTTTTTAAATTGTTGACATACAATTTATTTTTAATCCCCTCCCCCCCCATATAAAGAGTGCTATATTCATGTCTTCAGACAAGCCCCCCAAAATTAGGCATAAAATTTATCATTTTAAAGTGTTCAATTCAGGATTTTTTTAAGTATATATCTCAAAATGGAGTTGCTGGGTAATTCTACATTTAATTTCGTGAGGAACTTCAAAATGATTTTCCAGAGTGATTGCTATTTGAATTTTTATACTCATGATACTTTCCAAGTCAGAAAAAAAAATCAAAATGTATTTTTTTAAATGAACAAATAATAAAATTAAAGAATTTTCCCTTTTTTGCCTGCAGAAATTTTTTTTAATTTTGTGGGTTTTTTTTAACAGCTCAAGTCAATTACAAGATTGTACTCAGCTAGTATTCCTCCACCCCCATACCCTCCCTTTTCTTAAAAGAAATTATAGAATCATAATTCATAGAGCTGGAAGGACTTCATTCAGCACAGCCGCTCGAAAACAGTTCTCTGACTATGAGTGGGTAGAATTAGTATTCTGACTTCTCAAACAAGATCCAAAGGAGTTAAGTCACTTTCACAAGTGCTTCTATTACCCCATACCATAATGACCTTCAATAAATTTCCCACCTCTATCTTATTCTAAAAGATCCCCATCACGCCAAGCTCCATGGAAAGACTTCCTTAGCAAAACTCAACTCTGAAAGACTAATCCATTATGACCACAGAAATCCCAACTCTCTAGCCAGTGGCAAGATTTGAACCCTTCTTAATATTAGAAATAAAGCCAGGATTTAAAAAATGGATATTACCATCTGCAGATCACCCAGAGAGCTAATACATTAAATTGTGCAATAATATTGCAATGCTTCCTGATTTCAATTAAATCTGTTGGGTTTAGAAAGGAGTTCCCTTAGGTCAGAATCATTGAGACATGAATCTACGTAGATCTCAGGCTACCTCTGGCACTCCGCTGAACAGACTCACTCTCCAGGCAAGCCAATCTCTCCAGAACCATGGACAGCAGGTATTATTATCCCAATTTTACAGACACAAAACTGGAGCTCAGAGAACTTTTAATAATATGCCCAAGTCACAGTTATCTAGAGGAAGGAAGACCTGAGTTTGGATTGGTCTAACTGCAAAGCTACCAATCATGCTAGCTGTTCCAGATACAATCATCTAGTCCTACTCTGACACTTCTTTGGTGCAATGACAATCCCGTGGGCCAATTATAAGCTAGTCACAAGCCAACGTATTCCTTGCCAAAAGATTAGAGATCAGAGCCAGAAGTATAAAGAGGAGTGACAGTTTTTCTGTTTCATATACCTACATACTAATAAGTTGTTCAGGTAAATAAATATTAAGGCAGGACAGAAAACGGTTCTTTGTGAGATCGTTAAGAGGGAGATTCCCTTTGTCATGAGTCCACTTCTGTCTCTTCTTATTTTAGCAGGAGTATTTGGAAACAAGTTCTTAGACAATCAGAGGTTTTCCAATAACCTTCTGGAGTTCTCATGAGATACTGCTTATTCTAACAAATGCCAAGATTAAAAGAGACCCCTTTGAAAACATTTCATTTAATTAAAAGGTTCTCAAAAGCCTTCCCAAAGATAACTGGTTTGATCTGATCACACAAAAGCACATTTAAAAATTAGAATTTTTGTTTTCTGACATTTGTAATAGATTTTACTTATGTTCCTCATCCACCATTATACCCTTGATAAATGCTAAATACATGGATGGATGAATTAAAATATTAGGAGAAATGTATTTGGAAAGATAGCATCAGATTTAGAAAGTAACGGTGAGATAGGTATTGCCGACAGAATGCCCCACTTCTGTCGTAGTTCCCTCCTGGACCCCAATATGTATCTATGTTCAGAACAATGACTAAGGGCTAGGAAAGGCAAAGCGTGATACTTGACTGCTTGCAAAGGCTTGACTCTAAGACTCCAACACAGAACTCTACAGATCTAGGCTAAACCAGACAGAAATCTCCATTGGCCTACTCTGGAGGCCTGTATTATCTTATTATCTTTTAGCCCAAATAAAAACCTTATATCTTCCCTCCCCGGGGAAAAAAGAATTTCAATGTGCACCTGCCTGCACCAGAAAGCCAGCACAACCGGGGCCGGTTTGGCTCAGTGGATAGAGTGTCGGCTTGGGGACTGAGGGGTCCCGGGTTCGATTCCCGTCAAGGGCATGTACCTTGGTTGCGGGCATATCCCCAGTGGGGGGTGTGCAAGAGGCAGCTGATCAATGACTCTTTCTCATCAATGTTTCTAACTCTCTATCTCTCTCTCTTCCTTTCTGTACAAAATCAATAAAATATATGTTAAAAAAAAAAAGAAAGAAAGAAAGCCAGCACAAAAGAAACAATTTCCCAAATATGTGTGGCAGAGTTCCCAGAGTGCAAAAGGAGAAGAAAGCTTGACAATAGACAGCAGCTGTGTGGTATTACCCTCTAGCCACATGAAGAGAAGACACCAAAAGGAGATCACACACAGGTCTTCTGACTGAGCAGGTGAACAGGTGGCAGGTAACAAAAGATTCAGGGTACTGATCAAATGGATTAGTATTTCTCATCATTGGGGCTGGAAGTAAGGGGAAGGTCGGAGAGGCCTTGATCTTTTGCATCTTTGCCTAACCCACAGGATTAAGGAGATGTTGGATAGGGGGAGCCTTTTCCCCCATCCCCCTAAGGAAAACAGTACCTTATAATGGAATTTGCAATAAACTGCCTCTCCATTCGCATTAACCAGCTTGAAAGTATGCGACCCATATCCATTCATGTGTCTGTGTCCATCCGGAATCCCCCGATCACTGAACAAGAAGGAGACCTAAGGAAAATAAAAATAATACCTGATATGTTTCCATTTAAATCAAAACATCCTAGGTTTTTAAGACATTCCTACATGTCCAGAAAGTCCCTAGCATGAAACATACTAACCAAGTACCCACAAGAAAGGTTACCATTATTATCATTTAAAGAAAATAATCATTTTTAAACAGAATGATAAACTACTAACCTCTATAAAGAAAAACTAGCCCTAGCCGAAACCAGTTTGGCTCAGTGGATAGAGCGTCGGCTTGCAGACTGAAGGGTCCCAGGTTCGATTCCGGTCAAGGGCATGTACCTTGGTTGCAGGCATATCCCCAATACGGGGTGTGCAGGGGGCAGCTGATCAATGTTTCTCTCTCGTTGATTTTTCTAACTATCTGTCCCTCTCTTCCTCTCTGTAAGAAAATCAATCAAATATATATTAAAAAAAAAAAAAAAAAAAAAAAAACCAACTAGCCCTAACCAGTCTGGCTCAGTGAATAGAGCATTGGCCTGCAGACTCAAGGGTCCCAGGTTCGATTCCAGTCAAGGGAATGTACCTTGGTTGCAGGTACATCCCCATTAGGGTATGCAAGAAGCAGCTGATTGATGTTTCTCTCTCATCCATGTTTCTAACTCTCCCTCTCCCTTCCTCTCTGTAAAAAAAAAATCAATAAAAAATATCTTTAAAAAAATAAAAAGTAAAATAAATCTGAAAACTAGCCTAACTTGCTATTCAAATTTATTTTAATAGTAAACTTGTTTAGCACTACTTTTCCCCCATTCCCCTAATACTTCATACTAGAGACTTTAATCCTTAATATTGCTAAATATCAACTGATAATGTTTCTAGCATCACGTAAGTCTATGATCAGGACAAGATTAATAAGATTACTCAAGATCAAGAAATCTGAGTAAGCCTCCCAAGAAAATCAGTCAGAAACCAATTCCAATGAAACACTCAAAACGGGAGAAATGCACTCTGAGGCATGATCCCAGTTCCATCCCGGTGACATATTGTGATACAGAAAAAGCAGGGTTCCCACCTGATGCAGAGACTCGGGCAGCAGGCTCCAGAAGTCCCAGACCATGTCTGGGTCCTTCAGGTGCGTTTGAGGGTTTCTCTTTTGGCTGTGGATGAAGGACGGGAACTAAATGGAAAGAGAGAGAGAGAGAAAAGCACAAATTATGTTTACAGGAATTATAGTATTGTATATAATACAATGCCTATTGCTAGGTTTATTGCTAGGTTCCAAACATCATCCTAGAGTTTTATACTGCCAAACCCTAACATGACATTTACCCTCCCCCTGTTTCTAGGGCAGAGTGCCTGTTTTTATTAATCTTCCATTAATCTTAATTCCCATTAAGTCAGTAAAGACGAAAATACCAAATCCAAGCCCAATGGTAACTGTCATAATTTGACCTTATTAGAAGACATTAAGTACAGAAAGATGTGCCTTAGAAGGCAATCCCTCCGACCCAAATTCCCTTCTTTCAATCTGCCCCAGGACTTGCCCTCAAATGCCAATCTATACAGAGAATGTGAAATCAATTTAAACCAGTGGTCGGCAAACTCATTAGTCAACAGAGCCAAATATCAACAGTACAATGATTAAAATTTCTTTTGAGAGCTAATTTTTTTTTAAAACTTAAACTATATAGGTAGGTACATTGTTATTAACTTAATTAGGGGACTCCTAAGCTAGCCTAAGAACCACACTCAAGGGGCCAAAGAGCCGCATGTGGCTCACGAGCCTCAGTTTGCCGATCACGGATTTAAACCATCGAGCGTTTGTAGAGTGCAAAATACACTATCACCTACCAGTATGGCATCCCTGATGAAGAAAATGGGGGTGTTGTTCCCAACAAGGTCCCAATTGCCATCCTCTGTGTAAAACTTCACTGCAAACCCACGTGGGTCACGAACGGTGTCGGCTGAGCCTGATTCCCCAGCTGGAGGGTTCAAATGGGGGAAATGAAGCACAAGGAGAGCACTTGGCCCCCCGGAAGCCGGAAGACATAAAGAAACTCGGACATCTAGCCTTTCCAATCCATTTCCTGGACGTAATTGGGTATGTGAGTGCCTAGGTTATTATTTCTACCACCCACCAGCTAAGTTGGTCTACAAATTAAACAAAAACAATTAATTGAGAGTAATACAGGCACACCCCGTTTTATTGTGTTTTCGCTTTATTGCACTTTATAATCACCGATGTTTCGATTCTTACAAGACCCTCCACCAGCAAAAAGATAATGACCGGCTTTACTGTGATAACTGCTTTATTGCGATGGCCTGGAACTGAGAGCACAATATCCGGAGGTTTGCCTGTATATGCAATAACAGCTGGAAAGGTTGTTCATTCGACATAAGGAGAGAGCTTTGTTCACAAAGGAAATTAAACTTTAAATTAAAATAAGGGAAGAGAATAAGGATGAAGATAAGGTAGTGAGCAAAGAGAATACAAGTTGGCAGAATTGGAAGTTTCAGATTAAGAAAATGAGTAGACAGGCTCTTATTAATTTCATTTAGATTTGCTTTCTAAATAAATTTCTAAAATTCTAAGGAATTTTAAAAGTGCTCAAACCAATTGAACGGAATCACAATATTGTGGTGTGTTAAGATGCAGCATGGCGTATCTAATTCTTACTACGTAGCTCTGTGACAAGAGAAAAATCACTTAACCTCTGCAGCACAAATAATCCCTCTCCAAAGTAAATCTACAGGTTAGGTCACAACTGATGTCCCCATAGCACAGATGGCATGGAGTTAATTCTCAAAAAAGGTCATGGAGGGTAATGAACAAGAGCATCAACTCCATGCTTCCGTCTGAGGCAACCACTCGTGGCCAAGTTCTTTCCAAATGGCACAGCATTGCAGAGATAGTCTACCTGTGATCTCTTTAGATCTCAACAAAGAGATATGTAAGTCGCTTCCTACATGTTGCAAGGTATTTTTTCTACTGTTGTAAAACATGGCAATAATTGGGCAGAGTGCTTGTTTTCTGTCTTCGCATGGTTACCAATGCCCCAAATAAGGTGCAGGAATACCCGTCCCACAAACAGACCGACTTACCAACCGTGGAGAATCGAACTGCAAGGGGAGTCCTCTTTCCAATATGCTCGAACACCTTCGCCTTGGAGTATTTGGTAATGTCGTGGGTGACCTCAAAGTAGCCGAAAGCCCCTAACGAGAAAGACACAGACGTTCTCCTGAGACCGGCACTCGGACTGTCAGACCCGCCCCAGGCATCCGGGTGACGAGAGAAACTGATGGCCTAGCCTTGAAATTGGCCTTCTGGGAGCTTCTTTTTTGTTCAAAATATCTGTAAGGTGTTTACCTTGCTTTTCATTACAGAAACAAAAGAGGGAGGTGGTACTGGAAAGAAAGCTAAAAACTCAATAGGAAAAAGAAAGCTAAAAACTCAATAGAAAAAAAAAAACACAACTCAATGTGAAATCAATTTAAACCAACAAGCATTTGTAGAGTGCAAACTACTGAGTCACCTGCCCCTATGGCATCCCATGATGAAGGGGAGGTGTCCAAACTCAAAATGACAAGAGTAAAAGTCAACGCCCTATGACAGTGCGAAACGAAGAGCTATCCAGCTGGAGCCAGGAGGAGGGAGACAGGTGGGGCTGGCAGGAACTGATCAAGGCGGCCCCCAGGACACAGGGCCTGAGCGGGCCTGGAAGTACAGGGGAGACCTAGCAGAGGAAAGAACAGGAGAGGAGAAGAAAACAGGGAACGAAAGGATAAACACTCAGGAAGGACACCACAGAGCCAAACGACAAACCGCACAACACACCAACATCACCATGGAAAAGCGATGCCAAAAAAACAAACGAAAAACTAGAGACGATGGAAGAAGAGGAAATAAATCAGAAAGTCCTCACTGGGAGTCCAAGCAAGCAGCTAAGAAAAAGACTTTTCCTTCCTTTCTGTCCAGCTCCCTTTTTCCTATTGAGCTTTTAGCTTTCTTTTCAATACCACCTCCCTCTTCTGTTTCTGAAATTCAAAGCAAGGTAAACGTTTCACAGATATTTTTAACAAAAAAGGAAAAATCACCACAAACCCTCCGCCCGAACCCAACTATCCTCAATTCCACACCATCCGTGCCATTCTTTATTTAGTTAGTAACCTAGCTACAGTTACAGTAGGTCCATGTCTGTGTATCACTTTTTTATTTCTTCACTAAATTGCCTAATGGAAGAAAGGGAGATTATGTTTATTTTCAATCAAATGAAGTATTTTATACATAATGTTGCATCCAGGGAAATAAGTATCATGTAACTACTAATTCTTTTGGTGGACACTTTTTTCCTTTCTCCCAGAGATGGAGATCTGGCACTTGTATGAAATGAGAAATCATTTTTAACCCCGGAGTTCTGAAACAATCCTTTGACAACAAATGGACACAGCTCTCACCTGCTCCTTTAGCATGCACGACTCTCTCAGGAATCCTCTCCCGGTCAAAGTGAGCCATTTCGTCGGTGAACACCACATCCTGAACCAGGAGGGGGCCCCGAGGCCCTACTGTCATAGTATTAAGTTTGTCCCCTATTGGAATACCGGCCCCAGTGGTGAGGACATCAGGTTTCTAAGCAAAAATGAAAGGAAAAGAACGTAGGCGAGTCAGTACAAAATAAATAATAATAATTTTAAAAGACTGTCATTTGCACTGCCATAGGCACATCATTTTGCAATGTTCATACTTTCTACCCAAATTCTTTACATTTCTTGTGTCCAAAGTACTAAAATACAACGTAGGCCATTGCCTGGAACTTATAATCAGGTCTCAGAAGGCCTTGATAAATCTCAACCACAATCTGCTAAGAAATCTGCTCTGAAGAACAGGAAGATAAATAACCTGCTAACCTGCTCAGCTTCTGTTCAAAATACAATCATCAGGCTCCACCCCAAGCTAAGGATCCAAAAAAAAAAAAAAAAAAAAAAGGGGGGGATCATATATGCTTAACACCGAGTGTCCAAACGAATAGTGAGAAGGCGGTCTCTGAGAAGGTATGGCAGTTAGCATGGTACTCAGCATTCACACATGCTTTATTACACTGCTAGAGGCCTGATGCATGAAGATTTGTGCAAGAATAGGCCTTCCTTCCCCCAGCTGCTGGCACCGGCTTCCCTCCGGCACCCAGGGCCTGGGCTACTTCACTCCGGCCGCTGTCGCCACCCATTGGACCCAACTGAGATGGTCAGTGCCACCTGATGACAACTGGTCATTTGATCATTTTGGTCGTAACACCTCATGATTCCACTGACAGCTGGTGCTGAACAATGAAGGTTTAGGTTTAGACTAACAGTTAAATTGTACAAGTTCACTCTTTTTCTGATTCATTTTTTCATCAAAGTGAACCCGAGAGACTTGGAGTCTTAGTTATCAAGCATATGCATCTAGTTGTGGCAGAGCCAAACTCAAATCTTAGCACTTGGGGAACTTTTTTCCTCTGTTCTTGGTGAGTTGCCAATAAGAAATGATCAAAACATCGCTAGTGGTTTTCAATAGCCAGCAAACATTTAGAATAACACTACGGAAAATAAAATTGTTAAAATATGTGGGATAATAGCCATTACAAATGAGGTTTTCTCGGTCTTGAAACTGTCTTTCTTAAATACATCTGGGAGCACTGAGAACTGGCAGGGCCCTTTAAAAAAAAAAAAAAAAAAGTCGGGAATAAGAGAAAAAAAGAAAAAGAGGATCAAAAACTGAAGGATAATTTATCCACAATATAAAATATCCCTTTACTTTTTGTAATAGAAACTACAGTAGTCATAATACTCAGAAAGAAAATACAGAACAGAAACATAAAGAGAAAATAAACAAAAATAAAAGTGTTTTATATTTTGCAATCAGCCAGTCTTTTTTTTACCTGGAGAAAAAAATATGAAGTGTTCTAGATTGTGACAAACAGAAATAGAAGCTAAGAAATGTTTACTCCATTACTCATAATGTGTCATCTGCCCCTGTCTCTCTCCTTCCCCCTCTCCCTCTCCCTATCTAGTCCTCCCTCTCCCTCCCCCACACTACAAACCAGCAATTCCATTCCTAGGTAGTTCCCAAGAGAAATGAGAGAGCGTGTGCACAGTGAGTTAAATTACCAGTCACCCTTTCTCCATCCCAAATATTGGCATCATTTTATCAATGCAATTACTAAAATAAAAAAAATAAAAAAAACAACCCTGCAGGCACTGTCTTATGACTCACTGACAGGAAAGGATGAGCTAAGACCCAACCTCTCTCCCAGGTGAAAAAGGAAACTTTTAACCCTTTGCACACGGTAAGCATCTGTAAACGCAAGTGGGATGGTTTCCATTTTGGACGTACTGCAGTTAACTGGTTGGAAAGGTAAGGCCTGAGACATACAAAGTCTCCAATTTCTTAAAATGTATTTTATTGCTTTTTCACAGAGAGGGAGAGAGATAGAGAGCTAGAAACATCGATGAAAGAGAATCATGGATCAGCTGTCTCTTGCACACCCCCTACTGGGGATGTGCCCGAAACTAAGGAACATTCCCTTGACCCAAATCTAACCTGGGACCTTTTAGTCCACAGGCCGACACTCTATCCACTGAGCCAAACCGGTTTCGGCAGTCTCCAGTTTTTGAAGGAGCAGAGGCCGCTAATGGAGCCTAAGCATGCCAGTGGAATAGCCAGCCATGGAATGCTAAGCAGTGAGCAACCAACTTCCCGTTTAAGTTCCACCCAAAGGGGCTGGGAACGCCTGCAGAATCACCTCCCTCCCCTCAATGCATTTTGAGAGAAAGAGAAATGAAGATATTTAAGATGGTCCAAGCCATGCTTAGGAACATATTTGACTCAATGCTCACGTGTTAAAAGTTTACAAAACTCCCAGTTGACTTATCAGCAATAAAATCTGAGCACAAGGAAAGACGCCCAATAAATTGTTTTCCATTTGCTGACACTCTGGTTCCAGAGGAGGATCCGCCCAGCTGGGCATTCCGCAGCTGGATTCCTGCAGGAGGAGGAGGCAGCCTGGTGCCCTCTGATGGGGGTTCTGAGACGTAAAGCTTGCACAGTCCAGTAAAAGTGAAAACAGCCCGGGGAGTGAGAAGGGCGCTGATACAACGCTGCCCATGTAAGCAAAAGCATTTGCCAAGCAAGGAGAGATTTAAAAAGCATACTACCTATTAGTGTCATAATTCTCTAGCAGAAAGAATGTTTTCATGTCAGAAAGTAAAAAGGACATGATCTTTGAAAAGAGATTGTATCCTTTTGCCTTGCACCACATCACAGGGAAACGGCTGGATAGGTTTTCACCAAACGTGTTTTGTATGGTTTGGATAATATAGTAGGGTAAACTACATGGACACAGAGGTAGACTACATTTCCCGGCCTCCCTTGTGGCTAGGTGTGGCCATGTGACAGAGTTCAGGTCAATGGAATATGAGTAGAAGTGGCCTACACCACTTCCAGCCTGGCATCTAAACCTCCCACACACACTCCTCCATGCTCTTGACCTTCTGTGGCTAGACAGGGATGCCCAGGGCAACCTTAAAGGTCATGTGTCAACAAAAGGGCAGCCTCCTTCAACCTGAAGCCCTCAATAACTGTGGGTACTCACTCCCCTCTTCAACCGCAAACCACTCTGGCTCATCATGTAAGAGAGAAAAGAAGACTGACAACACCGAAAGCTGACAGAATGTGGAGCAACTGGAACTCTCACACTGACTGATGGAAGCATAAAATGGTATAACCACTTTGGGGAAAAGGAGTTAAGGTAATAACGAATCCCAAATTCTTGTTTCTGTGTTTACTTTTTCTCAGCACCACTGACCATCAGAACAATGCAAATTGAAATTGCAATTAGATACCACTCACACCCACCAGAAGAGCTAAAATTAAAAGACTGGCCGGGCAGGTGTGCCTCCTTGTTGTTAAGCATCAATTCAGGAACTAGAAGATCATGGTTCCATTCCCAGTCAGGGCTCCATCCGCACTAGGGGTTATGTAGGAGGCAGCCGATCAATGATTTTTTCTCATTGATGATTCTCTCTCTCTCTTTCTCTCCCTTCCCATCTCTGAAATGTTTTGAGAGACATTTAAAATAAAGACATTTTAAAACATTCACATACTCTACATTCACATGACTCAGCAACTCTACGCCAAGATTATGTCCTTTATACTTCCTGACGTGAAAACATTCTTTCTGCTAGAAAATTATGATAGTAATGGGTAGTATGCTTTTTAAATCTCTCCTTGCTTGGCAAATGCTTTTGCTTACATGAGCAGCGTTGTATCAGCGCCCTTCTCACTCCCCAGGCTGTTTTCACAAACATTCACATGACTCAGCAACTCTACGCCAAGGTATTTCCTAAGAGAAATGAAAGTGTGTGTGCACAAAAAGACTTGTATAAGATTTTTCATAGCAGTTTTATTCATAATAGCCAAACACTGGAAATACCCCAGGTATCCAGCTCCATGATAAACAAATGGTTTATTAGTCAATAGAATACTACTCAGCGATAAAAAATAAAATAAAAGTTTGATATATGCAACAATATGAATGAATCTGAAAACATTTTTTTTAGTCTTAAGATTCTTTTGTTAATATTTTTATTGATTTCGGAGAGGAAGAGAGAGGGAGGGAGAGACCGAAACATGAATGGTGAGAGAGAATCATTGATCGGCTGTCTCCTTCACACCCTCACTGAGGATCCAGCCACAACCGGGCATGTGCCCTTGACCGGAGTTGAACCTGGGACCCTTCAAACCGCAAGCCGATGCTCTATCCACTGAACCAAACCAGCTAAGGCAGTCTTAAAACGCTTTTGCTGAATGAAGCGTTATATAAAAAGTACAAAAATCGAAAGTTAAAAAGAGAAAATCAACAGTAGTTGCCTGCGGAGGGATTGAAGGACATGCCTGGGAACCAGCATGAGGGAATTTTCCAAGGTGATGATCATCTCCCATATCTTGATAAAGGAATAGAGTTCACAGGTGTGTATATCATGGAGTGGTCCACTTAATATTTGTGTGCTTCTCTGTGTGTAAGTTTTACCTTAAAAACATTAACATTGAGCTCTGTTCATCTGTACGCTTCGTGTTCATGAGGTCAAGTCTAACTTACTCTGAAATGCACCCTCCAGAAATGGGAGAATGGATGTAGGAAGGGATGGACAGAGAGAATATATGAAATAAACACATATAGCAAAATGTTCAGTGTAGAATCCAGATGGTGGATATATGAAGATACACTGCACAATTCTTTCAACTTTTCTGAATGTTAGAAATTTTTTTATAATAAAACACTGGGAAATTATACAAGCTTTATGACATATGCAAAATTCCTCTTGGGGGGTATAGGGTAGAGGATATTTCAAAAAAAAAATAAGCTGTTTTCACTCAGAGCAGCGAAACGTGAGAACTACGAAGACATTCCAGTCAGGACAATTACACAGTGCATTTTCATGCCAGGGGCAGAGGAGACAGCAAGGACAGGTGTGTTTTGGGGGCCATTTCTCACCTGGGCAGCCACGAAGGGTAAATCATCGGCAGGGACTCAATGATTTAACAAACAGTTCATGTTTCTCCCAAACAGTGAAGAAAGAGGCAAGCTAGTCTCAGAATAAAGGGGTGCTCTTTAAAAAAGGAGTGAATTTTGTTTATGTAAAACTCATTACATGCCCATATTTTTTTGCAGTTCACCGAGTGTTCATGAAAACTTCTGTGTGAACCAAGATGTAGCAACCACTGCGTATGGCAAGAGTCCTGTTCCCAAGAGCCAAGATCTGAGCTTGGCTCTGCCACAACTATTATAGATGCATGTGCCTGATGACTAAGATGCCAAGTTTCTCGGGTTCACTTTGATGAAAAATGCATAAAAAACTCACATGATGGCATTCACATGTAGAGCCTAATGAACAAAATACACTGATCAACAAGACCGACCCAGAGATATAGAAGCATGGAACAGACTGATGAATCTCAGAGGGCAATCGGGGCTGGGTGGGTGAATGGGGAGAGATTAACTAAAGGCCTGGTGCATGAAAATTCATGCCCAGGAGGTGGGGGGGTCCCTCAGCCTGGCCTTCCCCCCTCTCAGTCTGGGAGCCCTCAGGGGCAGGAGGCGATCCAGCGATCAGGGGAAAGAGATGCCCCCATTACACCTCTGCTGCTGCCACTGCTGGCAGCGCAAACCTCAGCCAGCCCTGGTTACCTGAGCCTCAGGCGGCCCTGGGTGGCTAGGCAGCTGCCATCCAAGGCTTGCCTGTGCCTCAAACGGCTCTGGGCGGTTGAGGGAGGGTCCAGCCACACCATGAGCCTGCTGCCCCCAAGCTGGACTGAAAGGACTGAGGGACTCTAGTGGGGCTGAAGGGACTGGGTGCCACCATCTTGTAGCTATAGGTGCCGCCACCTTTTGTGATGGTGTGATGGTCAATTTGCATATTCTCTCTTTATTAGATGGGATATGCATAACCCATAGACACAGACAAAAGTGTGGTGAAAGTGGGGGTTGGGAGCATAACCCATGGATACAGACAATATTGTGGTGATGGCAGAGAGGGGAGAGGAAGTAAGGGGAAGACAGGTGAGGGGTGGAGGTGGTCAATCAGGGGGAAGGGAGACATCTGTAATACTTCCAATAATAAAGATAAATTAAAAACAAAACAAAAACTGAACTAGCCTACTGGCATACAATAAAGGCCAGGATGAGAAGAGAGGTTTTGCAGGCCCTCAGAGGAGAATGGCAGCCTTCTCGAAAACTGGGACGTACTATAAAGCAATCCATGTGCACTTAGCATGCACACCCCCTTTCATGAATAGTAACCCAGTTTTGAAAAAGAGCACTGAGCAAGAGCGAGGAAAAGCTCAGCTCTAGTCCTCTCTCTGCCAGTAACCAGCCACCACTGGGACTGGGCAAGTCCCTTAGACTCTGGGCCAAGTTGATAAAAGACTCGGAGTAGATGTGCTCTCATCTAATCCAACCTCCTCCGCAAAGATGCTCCTGACGACGCTGGGCACAGGCCAGGAAGGCCTCACCCACTACCGCTGGTTGAAATCTTACTCTTCTTCTTCTTCAGATGTCTCCTGGTTTGGGAAGTCTGTCAGGCAAAAATCGGTCTCTCCTTTTACACCTACCGATACCTACCGACCTATAGAAGAGCTCTCCCCACGGGGGAATAAATAACCATCTGTTTATTTGTCTCCTCTCCGAGGAGACTTTGAGCTTCTCTGTGTCAGAGTTCTGGCTTCCATGGAATTTGCCCGCCTCCTCCCAGCACAGAGCCTGCCTAGCACATGCAGGCTCTCAAAGAATACGTGTGAACAACATGCGTGCATTCACTCCTAGTGTCGCTTCCATCTCTCAGGTGCAAGGCTCGATGTTTCCCGCCCCCTGACACACACCCCCTCCCCCCCCCCCCGTGCAAATGAAATAATGAAGGTAACATTCTTGGGTCGAATCCTTCGAATGCTGTGTGTACTAAGTATCCGTCACCGTGGGTGCTGGGGTCATCGAGATCATGGAACACTTGTCCCCAAGCCCATGGCAGCCTGAAAGCTTATATAATTGTGTAAGGTACCCCCCCCCCTCAACAACACACACACACACACGCACACATACACACACATACACACACACACACACACACACACACACACACACGCACACACACTTCCTTTCTCTCAGCTGCAGCTCGCGGCCTCTCCCTCCACGCGCCTCCACTTTTCCCTGAAGCTGTGACCTCTGTCCTGGCTGGCAAACATGCAACACTCAGAGCCAGCCAACCTCGCTCGCTCGACAAACCCTGCAGGCCCGCGGGAATCCTCTCCCCTCCTCCCCGCGAATGCAACTCCGTCAGGAAGGACTGAAAAGCAGCCCCGGCCCCAGCTCCAGCCCCAGGCCCAGCCCCGGCCCCGGCCCCAGCCCCGGGCCCGGCCCCGGCTCCAGCCCCAGCCCGCGATCAGGGGCTCAGCCCCGGCACGTCGCCGCGCCCGGAATTCGGGGCCGTTACTCGCGGTCGCCCCGCTTTTCGGAGGGCGCAGGATGTACCTGCGCGTTCCGCTGCTCCTTCCAATGCTTCATCTGGTCGCTGGCCGGGTCCCGGGAGTCGTCCATGGCGTCAGGCTTGGGTTGCAGATCCTTGCAGGAGGCCTCGGCTCACAGCCACCTTCCGCAGCCAACGCGTCAGCGTCGTCCACTGCCCCGAGCTCAAGAACGAGACTTCAGATTCCGCCAATCAGCTCCGCCCCTCGCCCCGCCCCCTCGGAGGAGCCTCCTTCTGATTGGTCAGGCAGCCAACTAGGGGCGGAAGCTGCGGAGTGAGGACTCGGGGCTTTTTGGAACCGGGCGTGACCCGAGGACTGGGACTGGCCTCCGGCCGCCAAACCCCCGGATTAGTGAACCCGGGGCGGACCCCGGCCTTCCCGGACCTGCTCTCACCTCTGCTTATCAGCATCTCGCAGGCCGCCCTGGGGCCCGGTGGCTGGTGGCCTGCCAGTTTTCCTGAGGCCTCAATGGGTGGAGCTTTGAACTCTGTAAATATGCTCTCAGCATTGAAACAGTCAGAAATCCTGGGGCGAATTCCCCTGTGCGAAATGAGGTTTTTGTTTTGTTTTGTTTTTTGGATTTTTTTTTTTTTTTTGAAATGAGGTTTTGACATACATACCCTAATGTTAGTATTATTTGCAACGGAAGGGTTGATGGGAATTTGGAATAAATGCCAACACTGATTCTGCAATTAGGCTCCTCTAAGTAATCTTCCTTTGGGATGTTACATTATTTTTTCTTCAAGACAGATATACCATTTTTTTAAATATATTTTATTGATTTTTTTTTTTTTTTTTTTTTTTTTTTTTTTTTTTTTTTTTACAGAGAAGAAAGGAGAGGAATAGAGAGTTAGAAACATCGATCAGCTGCCTCTTGCTCACCCCACACTGGGGATGTGCTTGCAACCAAGGTACATGACCTTGACCGGAATCAAACCTGGGACCTTTTAGTTCGCAGGTCGCAGCTCTATCCACTGAGCCAAACCGGTTTTGGCCAAAAAAAAAAACAAAAAAAAAATAGTACTATTTTGAAAAACAGGAAAATGGAACATTGATAAGTTTTTCATGGTCTTTATTCTTATATTTTCATTAATTCTCACCCGAGAATATTTTTCTTTTTTATTTAATATATTTTATTGATTTTTTACAGAGAGGAAGAGAGAGGGATAAAGAGTTAGAAACATCGATGAGAGAGAATCATCGATCAGCTGCCTCTTGCCCACCTCCTACTGGGGATGTGCCCGCAACCAAGGTACATGCCCTTGACCGGAATTGAACCCGGGACCTATCAGTCCGCAGGCTGACGCTCTATCCACTGAGCCAAACCAGCTTCGGCCAAGAATATTTTTCTATTGACTTTTATGGAGAGAGTGGAAAGGAAGGGGAGAGACAAAGAGAGAAACATCGATGGGACCCTTCAGTCCTTGAGCCCACACTCTATGCACTGAGCCAAACTGGGTAGGTGTCTTGATGGTCTTACTAGTCTAAAAATCATAGCAAGAGTCTGTCCTCCGGGAGGAAGGGAGAGGACCCTCCCCCCCCTCGGCCTGCAGGGTTTGCCCTGGCTCTGAGTTTTGCATGTTTGCCAGCCAGGACAGAGGTCACAGCTTCAGGGAGAAGTGGAGGCGCGTGGAGGGAGAGGCCGCGAGCTGCAGCTGGAAGGGAGGAAGGGGGTGTGGTACCTTCCTCACACAATTATATAAGCTTTTGTGATTTCTGGTTGCCATGGGCTTAAGGACAGTGTTCTATGATCTCGATGACCAGTTTTGGATGAGCAGTTCCCTTTTTAAAGAGAGGAAGGAAGAGGGAGAGAGAGATGAAAACATCAGTAATGAGAGAGAATCATTGGCTGCCTCCTGCACACCCCAACTGGGGATCAAGACAGAACCTGAGCATGTGCCCTGACCAGGAATTGAGTCTCCTGAGCCTGTTATGCCCAGACTTCGTGATCCCCAAGGACCACCAAGGAGCCGAGTCCGATGCAGTAAACAAAAGAGCCTTTTCCATGCTAGCATGGGCTCTGTCCCACTCATACCGGCAGCATGGCGGAAGAGAGAGCGAATTTCGCCCAGTCCAGGGGTTTTACTCCAGTCGGTGGTGATGTCATTGCCTCGGCTAACCCTGATTAGGCTGGGTTTACAAAATGGAGGATAACTCTGCCCTGCCCCACAGTGGAGTCAGGAGCTCGTCCTTGCCCCGCCCTGCCCTCTCAAGCCAGGCTGCTGGGGTACCAGCTCCCCTTTTTTCAGAGCCTGCTATGTGCTAGAGGCTGCTAGATGGTTGCCAGATTATCACTTAATAATCTCGTGAAGTAAACTTTATTGTTCCCATTTTAAATATGAAAAATCTGATGCTTAAGAGGTGGAGGAACTTGCCTAAAGCTTTTTATTTATTTTATTTTTAAATATATTTTTATTGATTTTTTTTTTTTTTTTTTTTTTTTTTTTTTACAGAGAGGAAAGGAGAGGGATAGAAAACCAGAAACATTGATGAGAGAGAAACGCCGACCAGCTGCCTCCTGCACACCCCCCACTGGGGATGTGCCCGCAACCAAGGTACATGCCCTTGACCAGAATTGAACCTGGGACCCCTCAGTCCGCAGACCAATGCTTTATCCACTGAGCAAAACCGGTTTCGGCTGCCTAAAGCTTTTTAAAAGCTAACCAAATGTCAGAGCTAGATCCTTGGTCTTCGATTTCAAAACCTAGCCTGTCTTTCTAAGACTGTTGAAAAATTATGTGTCTTTAAAGAACAATATAGTTGAAAAGTAAAATATTTAGTATATCATGGACTAGTTTGTCTTTTAAGTCAAAAGGATTGAATGAATTTTTTCTCCCCTCAGGTGCTAAGGTTTATCTTTAAACACCTTGATATATAAATATGCTATCATCTTTCAATTAAAAGTTCGCAACTTTTAAGCCTGATTTTTTTTAAATCACACTACATATAATGGGTGGGTAAATAGTGTAAATTCAGATGTTCTTGATATTACCAAAGTGTGATATCAAGATTCTAAATCAGTAATTTTCAACCTATTTCATCTCATGGCACACAGAAACTGATTACTGAAATTCTGTGATACACCAAATATATATATATATATATACATTTTTTTCCAATCTGATAAAAAAAAAAATAGGTATACTTTTGGTTCCTTCACACTGGACAGCTGTTGTTATGTTGGAAGTTGTCACTTTTTTATTTGATAATCTAAAAGAGGTTAGTGCCCCTGACTAAATAGTTGGGTATTGCATGTTTTGAAAATTCTTGTGGCACAATCAAATGGCACACCGATTGAAAATAGCTGATCAAAATCATAAAAGCTTAACTTCCAAAAGTTCATTGGAAAAGCAGCCTACAGATTGATCTTTAGTGCCCTATTTTTTTTTCCTTCATTACACAACACAATTGTAAGAGGCCGAGAACTGCAGCTGCAAGAAAGCTGTGTCATTTGTGAGATGACTTTTGCTACCTACTCCGTCCATACTGCCAATGGACTCCATGCGGGCAGGACCCTTCTTGTACTCTGGCACACCTAGAATTGATTGAATACTCTATGCAAGGGACTGCTCTAAGCTTCTTTTGTTCACTTAACACCTTCCAATGATCCTACAAGTTAGAATTAACTTCTCTATGCCTCATTTTATAGATTAGGAAAATGAGGCATAGAAAAGGTAAATAAGTAACTGGCCCAGGGTTACACAATTATTAAGAGATAAAACCAGGATTCTAGCACTACCCATTCATTTCCAGAGTCCATGGTTCACTGAATAAATAAATGTTGAAAGGATCAAACTAATCATTTTCTTTATTAATTAAGATAAATATCAACAAAGTAAATAAAAAGTGACCTGGAATCTTGTGTTGACCTTTGTTCTTTATATAAACTCTAGAGGCCCAATGCACAAAATTAGTGAAAGAGTAGCCTTTCCTTTCCCCAGCTGCCGGCATCAGCTTCCCTCTGGGATCTGGGCTTCCCTCTGGCCTCTGGCAGGCACCCGGGACCAGGGCTTCATCAGGAAGGTCACTCGGAAAGACCTCTGGAAGGACATCCGATCTAATTAACATATTATGCTTCTATTATTAAAGATCGTCATGTATTTTGTTTGTTTTCTCAGTTTTCATTACTGCTGGTTTGGGTTTCTGAGGAATTGTTTTCAGCGAATGAGAAATGGAGAGCAAGACACTCGGATCATGTCATATTTTGTATGTTAAAATAAGGCATGTAAGGACAATGAATTTATAATGGCTTCATAGATAGAATCCTATACATTGGCTCTATGACTATAATTTCCATATAGTTAAGTATAATCACTTCTAAAAATCAGCTCTAGTTTTAAAAATACATTAAGCCATATTTGTTTAACTCCTAAAGGCAATTCCAAATGATTGGTCCAGTGAACAAATTTGGTCCCAGATGTTTATATTTTATTAATATAAACGCATAAGTATTTTTGTTGTTGTTAAATGGAATTGTTATTTAGAAAATTCTGTTCTCTGTTCAGAACTTAACAAAGTAAAAATGTACTACTACCAAAGATAATATTAATCTTGATATCACCAATCCTAAAACTAAGCTTACAAAATAGGCCATATAATAAATGTCTAAGAGAAAAAGTTGGATAATCAACTAGGAACCTTTACAGATAAATTTTCTTTCATCAGTATTTGGAAGGAAAAAGAATGGAGAGAATGAACTAAGTCTTTTTGGATGACAGGTGTATAAAGCAGCATGAGGGGCAACAGAAACCTAGATAATTTCTTATTTCTGTTCAGATTCCATTCACCCTCGGAAGAGCTGAGAATGTTCTACATATTTCAATGTTATTCTCTTCCCAATGTCCCTGTGAGGTAAAGTCAGGAGGAGGGAGGAAAAAAAAGAACACAATGTCAGAGAGAAGAGGCGTGTTGCCACCCAGAAGTCCTTAGGAAAGGGCAGTGGATGCTACCACAGCTGTGTGACTCAGCCACTGTGGACAGGGCCTGAGGAGGCAGGAGAAGGAGGTGGCATTTGCATTTAAAGGTGCAGCAGTTTTATATGTTGTGATGGCGTGTATCCTCTGCTGAGCA